GGTCGCCCTCTCCCACGAACCATGCTGCTGTCGGCAATGATCTTCGGGCCGACGTACTGCTCCCAAGTTGTCTCACGGGGGATAGGCCAAAATTGGGCTGCATACGTGTCGGTGTAGGCCTTTGATTGAAGCGAAGGGTCTACCCATGGACGCTCTGACAATGAGTACGTCGCACAAACGGCTAGAACGTGAGAACATGGGAGATGGAATATCTTCGGTTTGTTGCACGTACACGTTAGAAGTTGAAAGTTAACCGTATGCTTATGACCTCCCTTGCAACCAAATCGCTCCCCCCTTTCAGTTGTGACCTGGTAAATATGCAATCGGCGATTATATGCTTCGACCCTGTGATATCTTGCATTTGCAGTGTTCTTCTCAAGAATGGCAGTGACCTTGGGGGGTATGGAAGTCCTAGTTCATACCTCGTCTTAGAAGACTCCCTTCTAAGCGTGAAGTACTTGTTAACCCTGTAGAAAGTTAACTCGACAAGAGACATGATCGGTAGAAACCGGGCTCCTTTAAGCACATTGTTAAAGGTTCAGAGAAGTTGGTAGTACATATCCCAAATCGGCGACCTGCATCGTGAAAGAGAGACCAGGCACTGAAAGGGACTTGAACAATGTACTCCATGGCCTTGGGACACTCCTGACCGATGAAACACAAATCAGTGTTGAGTTTTCTTTCTTGCCTTTGGTAAGCCGCACCCTTGAACGCATCTCTCATCTCGTTGCTTCGCACGTGTGTCCTCAAGTTAGACGCTATGTGGCGAACACAAAACCTATGACAGGCTCGCGACTCAGTGAATCCAACGTTAGGATCACTCATTGCTGCAATTATGCCTGGATGTCGATCAGATATAATGCACAACCCATCTCTTTGCGTGACATGAACCCGAATGCAACCCAGAAACCAAGACCAGCTAGAAGTGTTTTCCCCTTCCACCACCGCGAATGCTAGTGGAAATACCTGAAAGCTTGCGTCCACACTTGCAGCCACCAACAGTGTTCCCTTGTACTTCCCGTAGAGGTGCGTCCCATCGATGCAGATCACAGGCATGCAATGTTTAAAACCGTCAATACAAGGACCGAATGCCCAGAACACTCGTTCAAACACCTCCAAGTTACTGTAGTATACACCGTCCACCAAGCCCCGAGAGTCCGCACTTGACTTGGTACCTCGTAGCATCCAACCGCATTTCTTCTTGCACCGCAAATACAGGACACTCTCATTCAATGTCACCGTAGTGTACAGTTGATTCTTTTGTATGGAATACAGCTTCACCATTTCTAGGAGCATTTTCTTACTTTCAAAGAACATGCCCTTCTCAAATTCTCCACCGGGAGCAAAAGATGGACGACTGCCTGCATCAGTCCAATACGGATCAACTTCATAGTCCTCATTTATCTCATTGAACCAAGGTACGGGAGTTCTGACCAAGGGCTCACCAACTTCCATGTCTCCGAGTTCAACATCCATGTTCCGAAGTACGTCTGCCTCCTCTCCGCTCTCGGCCTCATCATTTGTGTACACATCATACACAGACAATTCGTTATTCACAACTGTGTCAAGATGAACCGCAACTAGTTCAGTCGGCGAAGCTCGAACATCATTTTGCACAGGCGTATTCTTATGCAGGTGCATCGGTGAAGAAGTGACGATGTTTGATGTCGAAGACCCAGGTTGCCCGGCCATTGCTGTATACGTCGCCCTATGTACAGGTGAAGCTATGTGAGAGCTGAACGGCATGTGAAATTGATCGTCGTTCAACATTCGACTAAAAGATCCTATCCCATATTCAGCCGGGGGAGTGTCGTGTGAGGGCACTTGCGGCTGTGTGTTGTTACCGGAAATAAATGTAGAATGTAGTTCTGCCCTGGTACTTTGTTGGGTACAAATAGGCACCATCTCCACATAAATCTCTGTGGGAACACCCTTCAACGCTACAACGCTCCTTAAAGCTTTGAAATGCTTATTCGAGGACACAGGTAACACTTGAACCCCATTCCCGGTCTCAAACCTCATTTTAATGTTTAGTTCAACACTCCCCGGGTTTGAACTAACGCTACTATGAACCTCGTTCATGAAATCACTGAAGGTCATGTTCGGTTCAAGTGTCAGTGGTTCCATATTTCCACCATTATACTCGACACGAGGTCCGTCAAACAAAAATTCACCTCCCCACCGGCACAACAAAACTACATTCTGTGCGGCCATATTCTACACAACAACCAAAACACATTACACTAAAACACACTAATCCATCTCTAAATCACATCCAACTAACCACTTTTGAACAACTAAGCATCACTAGGTCACCATTAACAAGCAATAATTCTAGAAATTCAAATACTTAACATCTTCAATATTTCAACACCAACAATTCTACATTATCCAAATTAATATTTAACAATCACAATTCATCAACTCAACCCTAAACCCCTAAATTCAACAAAAACCCCCAAAATTCAACATAAACCCTAGAAATTCAACAATTCAAGAAATTCAACAATAACCAATAATTCAACAACACTAACCAACAATTCAACAACACTAACCAACAATTCATGAATTCAACAACACTAACCAACAATTCAACAACAATATCCAACAATTCAATAATTCAACAACACTAACCAATAATTCAAGAATTCAACAAACATAACGAACAATTTGTAAATACTCAACTAATATTTAACCATACCTTGAATTGGATGTAATACGAAATTGGGTTGAAGAGGATTGAAGAGGAAATTTTGGAAGGGAAGGAAGAGGATTGCGAAGGAGGCGAAGGAATGAAGAGCAAACGTGATTGAAAACGAAGCTCGAGTTTCTGGTTTTACAACCAGACAGAAACGCTGCCTGGGGCAGCGTTTCATTAACAAGATAAGACGCTGCCTGGGGCAGCGTCTTATGTTTAAGCATAAGACGCTGCCTGGGGCAGCGTTTTATGCTGTTGCCTTTTTTTTTAATTAATTTTAAAAAAAAATAAACGAGGAAAAAAAAAAGTCAAACTATAAAAACGCTGCCTGGGGCAGCGTTTTTGTAGCAGAATTTTTTTTAAAAAAAAATAGAGGGTAAACCCCAGAAGCTTATTTTTGTAAATACTTTTGCCACGCAACCAAATTTGTAATTATTTTCTTCGGGAAGCTTAGTTTCCTAAAACGTCCCCGTCCACCACAAAGCTCCGGAATACACATCGGAAAACTGGTCAACTACATTACTCTTTCCCTTTCTTTCTCTCTCGTCCCTCCCTAACCCCAAGAGATAGAAATTCAAAATACCTTCATTTTTATTAATAGTAATAGGAGAGAGAAAGTTACCATCTTCGTCTTCAAATTACAGTGGGTAGGTGAGGTTATCATACTGTTCCACCACCTTCACTATCGAATGTGCAAGTAGTATACAAATTAACAATAACAATATAAATATTGATAATAACAGTATATTTATCAAAATAATAGTATAAGTAAAAACAAAAACCAATTGTTATAAGTTGATAACATTTAAATAAAACCCAAAAAATTATAAGAAAAAATATACCCAGAAAACAGACATGAGACATATCCAGATTCACGATGATAAAAATAATTTATCAGAGTGTAATAACAATATACAAATAAAAAATAGGAAAAATTACAAAGAAGGTCTTTTTAAGTAGTCGACCTTGTGAGAAAGGTCCTTTTTTAAAAAAAAAAAAGGTTAATTTAAGTGGTCACGTGCACAACACGTGACTTTTTGGTCGGAAAACGGAGGTCAACGCCGGAATTTGGTCAAAGGACCCTCCTCACAACCAAAACGCCATAAAAGGATCTTGTGTGCCACCTTTTTTTTAAAAGGACCTTTCTCACAAGGTCGACCACTTAAAAGGACCTTCCTTCCAATTTTTCCTAAAATATAATGGTAAGTACACAAATTAAAGTAGGCTAGTACAGGCAAATAATTCACGTCGTCGTCGACACTTCGCCCACCGATTATACTACTTTCACCAGCTACTTCCGGAGAGCAGTTGGCGTCATCGGCTTTAGCCATCACCAGAAAAGAATTCCACCGTTATTTGTGGTTGCAATGTGAAGTCATAAGTTTGCAGCTCCGATAGAGATCTCCCACCATTCTCATGGCTCAGACCTCTATTTTGAGAGAGCTCCGGCAGAGATCTTCCGCCGTTCTCATGACTTAGACATCTAGTTTGTTTGTTTGTTTTTTTTTTTTTTTTTTTTAACCATAATTTACCTTACTTTACATTTTCAATTTTCATTTACCTTTTTAAAATGTTTGAAAAGTAATATTATATTATGGTAGTGGGTATAAGGGTCCATACCAGGTATTGGGCCATAATTTCTCTCCGGTGTCCACCCTTGGCTATTCCTATGACTCACCGACTCCTCTCTCAAATCTAAAGGTATGCAATCTTCACTCATGTCTCTTTAATCCGAACCAAAATCAAGTTTTATTGTAAATTTTGTTATTTGACAGAAAATTATTCTAAGAAGGTAATATATAAGAACATTTAATCATGTTATTTATTTTCATATATGTATAAATATTTAACTCGGTTATTACTTTAATGCTAGACTTGAAGAATATGGCTATTGGTGATGCTGATATTGATGAAATGATCGAAATTATTGACTGATGTTGCAATTCTATACTCTGTGCTTGTTCTGTTGGATTGTTGCTACTGTTTTGGTGTTATGTTGCTGTAGTGTTGGTGTTCTACTACTACTACTATTTTAATGTTCTGCTATTGCTCTTTGGATAAAATTCAGTGTGGTTCACTTTCATTTTGAAAAATCAGATTTTAAACAGTGCAGTTTGGTTTAATTTCAATAGTAATATGGTGGGGTGTAGTTTGAAAAATTCCAAAACCGAATTAATGTGATTTGATTTTGATTTGGGGTATAAACCACACCGCAAATCGTACTTTAATCCCTAATTTCAGATAGTTAAACGATTTTTATTTGAAATTTGACAGCGCTAAAAAACACACATCAATGAAAAACCAAAATCCTGGGCCATAATCCACCTTACTTACTCCAAAATCCTTGCTCAATACTCAAATTAAGACCAGAAAATACCTCATCATTGTCTTAGTGCTCCTAAAAAGAAAACACAATAGCATAATTATTCATTCCCACTACCAACGCGCTATAACAACAGTTAAACCACGCGCTAGTGAAATTGCAACGCAAGCATCAAAGCTCTCACTTATTACTGGCTAGTAGCTGTCACGTGCTTTACACGTGCGTAAGAAATTTGCCCTCTATTTTGCACGTGATTTTCACGCGCCATCTCTTCTTACATGGTCAACTCAGCAACTAACTTTGCTGTACTTCACCGTTCTCCTCAGCTCGACGGCAAGAGAGAGAAAGAGTTAGAGAGAGGAGAGATCTAAGAGATTCGTTGGTTTTTGAGGTATGATTTCACTAAAAACCCTTACTTTTGTTGTTTTGAAACTTGGGATTATCGTTTTTTTGTGAATTTTGCTGTTTAAGTTTGATGAAAATGTTGATTTAGGGTTTTATTATTTGTTGTGTTTTTAGTTTTTTAGACTGCTGAGATTGAAGATGGTTTGAAATTGGGGTTTTTTTTACGGGGTTTTGGTGGGGTTATGGCAACTGGGATTGTTGGGGGTGAAGGTGGTAATTCTAAGGATAGGAAAAAGTTGGGTGATAGTAAAGTTTACAGTAGGAAATCTTTCAAAGGACGTAAAACCAACTTAGCTGAAGAAAATTCTCGAAATTTGCCTTCCCAAGAGTTGAATTCTGGGAAGGAGCTTGGTTTTAACAGGTTTGCGGCTTGGTCGTCGGTTAATCGTGTGGGTCGAGGTGGTGGTGCTGGTGGTGGTGGTGGTTACGCTGCTGGTCATCGCGATATGTTGGGGAATGGAATGAGTGGGACGGGATTTTCCCGGGTTGAGAGTCGGGTTTCGATTAGTTTGATGTGTAAGACGAAGAAGGAGAGGCGTGAATTGAGGAGGAAACTTGAGGGTGAGCTTAATCTAGTTAGGAGTTTGGTGAAGAAGCTTGAACGTAATGGTAGTGGTATGAGGTCTATGGTGGATGGTGGTAATAATGATGTGGGGAAGTTGAAAAGAGTTCATTCTGAGGTTGGTTCGGTGGGGTGGCATGAGGGTAGGCCAATTGATCAGCTGAGTGTTACTGTGCCAGAACATAGTCAATGTGCCAGTGAAAATGTGGAGAAGGAGAAGAGGACCCCTAAGGCGAATCAGTTTTATCAGAGTTCAGATTTCATACTGGGTAAGGACAAGATCACACCATCAGAACAGAACAAGAAGTCGAAAGGCATGGGGAAGAAGAACGGGGAGTCTGGATCTGGAGTTGGGATGAGCAGCTCTCTGAGTAAGGTATTTAAGAGTTGTAGTGTATTGCTGGATAAGTTAATGAAGCACAAGCATGGATGGGTCTTTAATACCCCTGTTGATGTGAAGGGCCTTGGTTTGCATGATTATTTCACTATAATTAAGCATCCAATGGACTTGGGTACTGTGAAATCTAGGCTAAATACCAACTGGTACAAATCTCCTAAGGAATTTGCCGAGGATGTTAGACTTACCTTTAATAATGCAATGACTTATAATCCAAAAGGGCATGATGTCTATATAATGGCAGAGATAATATCAAAAATGTTTGAAGAAAAGTGGAGTAGTGTAGAGGCAGAATATATGCGGGAGCTGAGACCTTCTATGGACTATGAAGCCAGTCTTTTAACTCCAACATCAAGAAAGGCTCCACCGGCTCCACCATCCTTGCCGCCTGCTGTTGATATGACTAGGACACTGGATAAATCAGAATCAATGACAAAGTCTGCTGGTGCTAAACCCAAAAACCCTAATCTTACGCCAACAGGCAGGATTCCTGTTCCAAAGAAGCCAAAGGCAAAAGATCCCAATAAGCGAGACATGGCATATGTGGAGAAGCAGAAGCTTAGCACTGACCTTCAGAACTTACCTTCAGAGAAGCTTGACAATGTTGTCCAGATTATTAGGAAGAGGAATCCTTCACTCTGTCAAAATGACGATGAGATTGAGGTGGACATTGATAGCGTTGACACTGAGACTCTTTGGGAGCTGGACAGGTTTGTGATGAACTACAAAAAGAATCTGACCAAAATCAAAAAAATGGCTGAAGTGGCCCATGTTGAAGGGGACGCTGCACCAACTATAGAAAAAGTGAGAAACAAACCCTCTTTGCTTGTTAGTTATAAATTATGATTCTATCTTGCTGGTTTTTCTGATTTTATTAATTTCATCTCTCCATGCAGAATGAAGCTCCATCCATCTTGGAAAACCCAAAAGAAAATAAAGCTGGTATACTTTCCAGATTTCTGGACTTATTTATAAGGTTTTTACTTGTTATTAAATTCTTTCAACTTTTGAATATAACACAACTTTATTTCAAATGTATGGAGCAGAAGAGAAGAATGACCTTTTATTGCCTCCTGTTCAACATGAAAAGCAAGCTGGCAACGCCAGCAGATCAAATAGTACAAGAAGCTCAAGCAGTGACTCTGGATCCTCTTCCAGTGGTACTTTTTTATTTATTTATTTATTTTTTTAAGTTATGGGTTTGGGCTTATGATTTCAAGTTTATACACAACCATTTTCCTTTCCTTAACAACTTTGCATATCAATGCAGAATCTGATAGTGATACTTCCTCAACCTAAGGGTCAGAAAAGCCAGCATTATCATGGGATTTCAACTCCCTTTTTAGGTAAAGATTTGATTAGATTATCTTATGACATTCTTTGTTTATTTCTTCTTGTATATGAATGTATTCCTGATTTTTGATTCATGGATTTTGTCTGCTTGTGTTTTTGGTACAAGTAATTTAGTAGGTACTGATCTTCCTAGAAAGGCAACATGCTGTAGGTAATTAAAGTGGATAAAATCATAAAAGTAATTTTCCTTTCATCCTTTTTTATGTATAATGCTTTAAACATCATTTATTATGATATCTCTTATTATATTTACTTCATGTAATCCCTGTTTAACTTTTTTACATTCGAATGCTATGGCAGATTATTAGTAAGACAAGATTTGATACACCCCCAAAAAAGCCTTTTACTTAAAATAGAGGACAAAGACATCATTATCATGGTCATTTACTTCATTCCAGGTGCTATCCATTATTAGCCCACTGTAGGCTATGTGTTAGAATCCGACTCCTTTTGATGTATTAGATGCCCCTTTAATGCTTTCCTACGGTTAGTTTATGCTTTCTAGGCCTTAGATCCCATTATTGTGTTATTGTAGTGCAGTGTTCACTAGGGATTTTCCTTGTAATTAAATTAAAGCTCTTTAGAGGGTGAATGATTGAATGAAATCTTAAGCTTTCTACCAAGTGTTGTCTTGCTTTTATGCTTGTTTGTTGTTAGATCTTTATAGATATTATGTCTTACTTGCATAATAGCTCCCCTCAACACCAACTTGATGCACTAAGAACTCGTGGTTCGGACCCGCTTGTGCCCGCCTTGAAGTATCGGCCGTCACAAGCCCCGACCACCCGCACCCGTTGTCCAAATAGACGTGAGTGCTCCTGATATTTGATTGTCCGCTTGTGTTGCTTCGTGCTCACAAGCCCCTCTTTTGCACAAGGCTAGTGTTCTTGCTGACAAAAGGCTAGAGCGCGCCGCACGTTCCGGGGCCCAAACTCCCGCTCGTGACACTATGATTGGACATGAAAACTACTTGCTGGGTGTAAGATACTGTATTTGTGTATAATTTGAACTTTAAAAGCACCGGCCTTGGCAGGCTAGGGTGGCTGGTCTTTGCTGTTGGATGAATTTGTAGTAGATGAGTGTCTTCAACTGTTTTACTGAAAGGACCACATATTCGAATATACAATGTACACAAATTAAATTAATTAATGCCTGACCTTATTCTTTGCCCATCATACTTGTGACATAGTATGATCTGAAATGTGGGCTCAACTTACTAAACTAATAGAGTGCAATTACGTTGATGGTATCAAGTACCAAATCAAGATAAAAATCATACAGTCTTCAACCTGCCTTTTAAAGACTTTGAGAAAAAAGCTTACAGGTTCATTAGAAAGATTGGATTGATTAACATCATATCTTAGGTTTACATAAAAATACATTAGAGAATTGATGCTCCTGCTTAAAAGTACATGAAAAGAAGTTAGGATCTTTTACCTCACCAGAGAGGGCTACCAGAGGTCAGCCAATGATTTTTATATAGAAACGCGTTAGCAGGTGTCTTTGTTCAGAGTAGATGAGGAAGTTGTCTAGTATGAAATTTGGAGTGGGGAAGATTAGTCATGTATAGCTGTTGTTTTTAAGTAGATCTCTCGTCTTTTTTCTTTAGCTTTAGTTCTTTGTATCTTTAGGTTAAAGGTAAGTGGGTTACTCTTTCTGTTCCCCATTAAAGATACCATTTAAGGTTTAGGTGAAGAATTGTAATGTGGCATTTGTTGATTAAAGTTGAATATAAAAAGTCTGGGAATATTTTAATTTTTATTTAGGGAAAGCAGGAGAAAGTATAGTAGAGGGGGGAGGGATGTGCCAGTTCTTCATGTTTTAGTTTGTGTGTCATGGTTGAAAAAAATGTTGTTAGATATGGAAACAAATCTATTGATGACCAAGTTAGAATTTTGGTGTGTTAAATTATATATTTTTTTTTTTCCAAACTAATACCAGAAAGTCGATAAAATTCGCTATGGTAATTGATTGGTGTGGGGGCAGTCTTCACCCTTTTACTCCCTCTCTCCCCATCCTCTTCTTTTGTGATGGGTTGAGGTGTTTGAGGGTGCGATGTAGGTACTCAGATATTTAAGCTTGTTGCTTCTTTTCTTTATCTTTCTGCAAACGAGTATGCTGTGTGTGCTTTCTGGCTAGAAGTTAATTGAAGCTAAAAATAAGTTGCAGAGATATGGAACTTTTTATTTAAAGCAGTTAATTTGTAAAATCGTGAAATATTTGGGAATGGTACATGAAAGATGAAACTGGTTCATCCAGAGTATCGCTGATGGAATCTTGTAAGAATTGTGGTGTTACAATGAGCGAGTATGTTGCTTTTAATAGGCATACAATGTGGCTTGATACTGAGTGTTAATTAACCTAACAAAGCACTTAAGTATGTATAGCACCATGTTCCAGTTGGCAAGGTTAAAGAAGATGGTTCGTTGGGTGGGGGTGAAAGAAATGAGTCAGTAAAATTGTATATATTGATGGTTATGTATAAGGTGCCACCATTGCTGTAAGTATTCTTCCTTTGACTTTTCTTATTAGTTTAATACATCCTATACAACACCCAAGAATTCCTCTGCAAGTAGTTCTGCTAATGGTGCTTAATGGAACTGATGAAAACTTTTAGAGTAGTTCAAACTTGGCGAAACCTATAAGATAGTGCTTTCTGAATGAATAACATTGTGCATAAGAAAACGTTGTGGTACACTATACACTGCGGGTTGCTAGTTATTCTTGCCTCCTTTTCTGACAACAGGGGCTTTCCCACTATTCTCAGTGGCTATATAAGATTTTTTTTTTTTTTTTTTTTTTTTTTTGCCTGAATGAAATTGTATGTAAATTTTCTAATAATAAGTTTTTATATTATTCGTGAAGATGAGGTAACAATTGTCCTCAGAGGTGAGTAGTTTTGGGAGGTCACAAACAGTACCCTCAGCATGTGACTGTAGAGGGGGAGGGGGGGAATAAGGGGATGAGTTATTTTGTTTGAATGGCTGGGGCACATCATGAGCCTAGTTCTCATAATTGAGTAATTTGTCTTACAAAGTACTTATTGTGTAGAAGACATTGAAAAGAGGCTTGGACTAAACCTAGTTCTCATAATTAAGTACATCCCTCATGCAAAGTGCGAATTGTGTAGAAGCCGTTAAAAAAGAGAAAAGAGGCGTGGACCTGTTTGTCGCTGAAATTCATATTATTATTTGAAGCCAGGATCTCTTGATAACTTCTGGCTTGACTAAAATTCTTTTATGTAGTTTCTTTTAAATTGAAGAACATTGAGTCAGCTTTCTATCTCAGACTTTAAGGTAAAAATGGATCAGCAACTCAATGGAAATTCCAGTTAACTTCTTCAGTTATTGCAGTGCCAATGATATTTGTTGATTTTGCTTAGGTAGTTCTTATGCTATTTGCTAATTGTCTTCTTACTGTAACTGATGGTTGTCATAGTTGTAATAACATAGTAATCATGTCAACCAAGTTGCATCATGGATCCAATTTCCTTTGTTTTAAAATAGCTTGTAAAAAAAAAAACTACAGATGGTTGTCGTCATACCCTGTTCACGTTTTATATCACGGATTGCTAAACTATTTTTTATGGTGTTGGTGGAGACTATTATCCCTGTTTTGTTTCAATATCAGAAATGTGATGAGTTATGATGTAAGCTACTGGTGTTCTGATATATACTTTGCAATGTTGCAGTTTACATTAAGGATTGAGGAGGGTGCTTTGTGGATGTACAGTGGTTCTGACTATTCTTGGGGCTCTCTGCTGCTGTAGCACATGTTGCTTGGAGTACCAGAGTCTGATGTGCAAGAAAGTGGAAAGCCTTGTCCTTGCTAGGTTGTAAAATGTGATTGTAAGAATGTTTAGTTAGGTAATCAGTGCTATAGCTTTTGCTGCTTTGTCTATATTGCTAACTGTGTAATCCCTTCTAGATTCAGGCAAGTTAGAAATATTTATCTGCTGGGGAATTTGATGTAAGCTAACCGAAGAATGTAATCTTCGTGATATGGTAGTAGAACAATTATTTTCTTCCTGATCTAATTAATTTTGTTAGTTTGCTGCATTCATCATCTGGCTAACTGGCTGCTGTGGGAGTCTAGAATTTTTTGCTGCATCAGATGAGTATGCACTAATGATCTCGTATTTGGAGTCTATCTCTATACAAATAAAAGGAAAGCGAGGGAGGGGCAATAAATTTCCTTGTTTGTAAACAAAGAATATAATAATAACAATAATAATAATAGTAATAGCTGATGCGGCTCATCAAAAGCAAGTCAAGTGTGAATCTAGTTGTCGGGGAATTAGAGAAGAAAGTTATTGCGTTGTTGAAGCAGGTTCAGAAGTTCTCAATAACTCACACGTGTTGCTGCTCACATTTTCACTAGGATAGACTTTGCTATTGTTAGAGGAGTGTAAGCCCAGATATTGCTAGAGGAGTGTAAGCCCATATTGCATTTGGGCTTTCAACTAATTTTTTATAGGTTGTATGACGTCTGTTTTTGAGATATAAAAAATTTGCTTAGTGGTAATTTCTGTTTCTGTTTTGCCGATACTTAAGATAGTAGTAGCTTCCTATTTTGCTTGAATTTATACATAATAATTTAACTCTTATCAATTCTAAATTTCTAACAGTATGTCATACTATACCCTGAAAATTCATAATTTTAAAAATAAATAGCTTTGTAATTTAAGTTTTTATTTCCCCATAATCTCTAGTAACGGAATTTATAATTTTCAACTAATTAAGCTCTTACAATTTTGAAATTAAACTTTGAACTAGAGCAAGGATAAAAATGTCCTCATCCTCGTTCTCTAACTTACTCTCTCTCTCTCTCTTATTCTTTTGACACCTCACTTTCACTTTCATATACCCTATTTTCTACTTTCTACATCTTCTTACTTTTTCTCATCCTTTAATTCCTCCCACAACAATAAAGGATCCTCTTATAATCCTCTTAATATATATGGAGTGCCATGTGTCTATTTATAGTTGCCCGTATATAGATGAGTATAAAAAAAGAAAATCAAAAATTGTTTGGGTGACCGCCCACGCGTCAGACAACAAGCCCAAATGTGGCTCTTGAGCCATGGAGTGTACACCCTCTTTCAACAGAGGATGGTGATTCATATCCGCTCTTACAAGAGTTATTTGTATTTCTAATCATGCCTATGGTATAAGGCCTATAAGCCATTGAGTTTCAAAAATGTCGTTCCTTATCAATTCTTGTCTTCTCTACACAATGAAAATAAAGTTAAGAAAATAAATAAATAGTCACTAGCACTTTCTAGGGCCTCACAGTTATGCACAAGCAAATACATAACAATGACAATTTACTAAATAATGACATTTTGATTCCAGTAGTATAAAAGACACTCTTAATAGTACTATTAAAACTTTCAGTAGTATAAAATATTGTTATGCAATTTTACTTGTGTCTAACACTGATATACTAAGACTTCCTCAATTCTCACCCCCTTTTTCATTGCTCGTGATTATCCTTGCTACAATCACCATCATCAATTCGTCTCTTTAGCAACTCCCATCACCTTCAACAAACTTTAAGCATATCTACAAGTGTTCAATTATACATTTAATGTTACTCACATCTCTTTGTAAAAAATTAATATAAATCTAATCATATATTTCCTTTCATATTTTATTAACATCACTTTGCAAATTGAGGACTCTTAGATTATTTTTGGAGATGAGAAATATAGAGAGAACCAAAAAAAAAATAAAAAAATAAAAATAAAATGGACCTATAAAATGGGGGAGAGAGAGAGAGTGTGTGTTTAATAACTAAAAAGAAAAGTGATGCAACTAAAAAGAAACGAAAGAAGTACTCCCTCCGTTAAATATTATTTGCAACTTTAGTCATTTTTTTCCGATCAGAATTATGTGCAACTATCTATTTTTTTCCATTTTTAGTAAACAAAAACCCTTAAAATTACATATTTACCCTTACTTAAAAATTTTAATGTTCTTAATTTTACCCTTATCTTATTTTAATCACAATAACCTTTTTTAATCTAATCTAAAATCATGAACCTAATTCTACCCACCCATCTACTCATCTCCTAGTTTACCCACCACCCATTCATCTCTTTCTTCAACCTTCACCCTCTTCATCTCTTTCATCTCTTTCACCTTCACCCTCTTCATCTCTTCCCACCACCATTCTTTCTCCTCCTTCACGACCATCGCCCCTCCCACTACCATTCTCTCTCCTCCTTCACGAGCACCGCCCTCCCACCACCATTCTGGCCCCTCCCACCACCATTTTCTCTCCTCCTTCACGACCACCGCCCCTCCCATCACCAATCTCTCTCCTCCTTCACGACCACCGCACCTCCCACCACCATTCTCTCTTCTCCTTCACGAGTCACGACCACCGCCTCTCCCACCACCATTCTCTCTCCTCCTTCTCGAATTTCAGCCGGATCTGCTTTGGGGTTTGATTTTGTAAGTTTGTCGTTTATTTTTTGGGTGATTTACGTTCGAATTTTCTCAGTTTTTTTCGATTTTATGGGTATTGGTTTTACGGGTTTTGATTTCGATTTTATGGGTATTGATTTTATGGGTTTCACAGTGGTGGGTGGGTATAGGGGGTGGGTTAGGATTAAGGGGTTTTCTACGGTGGTGGGTGGGTCTGGGTACATGGGTGGTGGGGTGGTCTGGGTTGGAGGTGGTTTGAGCTAGTGGTGGAGGGGAAGGTTAGATTTCTGGGTTTTCGTGAGGGTGGTGGTGGTGGTTTCGTGGGGGTGGTAGTGGTGGTGGTTTCGTGGGGGTGGTAGTGGTGGTGGTGAAGGCGGCGGTGTGGGTGGTGTTGCCTGGTCTTGGTGGTGGCAGTGGGTTTTGATTAATTAATCTCTCTCCACCTTAATTACATATCACAAGTGCATTAACTTTCTCTAATCTTTGCCCTTTAAAAATTGCATTGGCAACCGTGAATTGTACTACAGTTGCAGATAATATTTAACAGAGGGAGTATAAATAATTATAAACTAAATTTTAGTGTTGTCGTTTTATCAAAATTACCACCACCGAAAATCAGCCAAGTATCTTGTCACAAGGAGTGTTAGTATACCGTGTCTCTATGATACATTTAGTAATTAAATAGATGGGCCATATGGGACAAAACATGCTCTTATATTCGTACACTAGGTTATCTGATAGCTGGTCGCACACCTAACAAAAATAATACCTAACTAAACCTCCTAATTATGTAGTAGGGTAAGTCAGGGTCGATCCCACAGAGAGAAGGTTGTTTAACAATCAACTTTAACCAATGACAAAACTAAATAAGAGATAAAACGATGGATTTAATAACTATGACTACTCAAATATCAAACATAAGTCAAAAATAATAAAAACATCTAGAATTAAGTATCACCACTAGCATAATCAATACAAGACAAATTCCTACCCCAACCAATTAATTACACGTTCACAAGGAAAGGTACGCCCTATAAAATACCAAAGGTCTCTTCCGAGTTATCAATGGCTTCCCAAATCAACTATCAAGCCTATTTCCATGGAATCAAGCAAATAAGGGACATTAAGTCTGGCACCCTAACTTCCTAATAATCCGTTCTACCTACTTCCGTGGAGAATTTCATACCCTTAATTGATCTATTCAAATCCGTCAAAACCCAACTCCCGTTGCGATCAAGACAATGGAATAATAACAATACCAATTATCCCTAATAATCCAGTATTGGCATAAGCACAATCAATTAAGTATGAACAATATAAATAATTAATTAAGAATTTAAAAGAATAAATCAAGTATTAATCATGTCTAGGGTTCAACCTCACCCTAGATTAATAATCTACATGAACATCATAAAAACAATAATAAAATAAAGAGAATGATAGTATTAAAGTAATAAGAAAACAAAATAATAAATCTTAATATGAAAAGAATAATAGAAAAGAAAATTAAAACTAAATCTATAACCCTTAAAAAGTAAGGAAATCGCCCCCCCTCTGTTATGAACAGTACCCCGCTTATTTTTCCTTCTTATGAACAGTTTCTCTTTTCGCTGAACACTGCCCTTTGTGTGCTGACGATTTTACCCCGGCTTTTTATTGTTTTCCTACCCCGGCTTCGCTGAACAGTGCCCTTATACATATATATATATATTGCGTTTTTCCTCTCTCTCTCCTTCACATTTCTTTGCTTGTTGCGGCTTTTCGGTTCTTCTGCATTTGTTCTTTTGCTTTGTTTATTAATTGCAATATTAATTGCAATTTCTTCTTTCAGGCAAACAATCATCATCATCATAGCCTGAAAGAATCCAGGCTAAACCCATTTATTATTAAGTGAGTTTTCATTTATTATTAAGTGAGTTTTCTATTCTTTCTTTTTCCTTTTCTTCGTTTTCTCTATGACCCTTAGAAACAGTATTTGTTGTTTGTAATTTAATTGTACCAGGCTAAACCCATTTATTATTAAGTGAGTTTTCTATTCTTTCTTTTTCCTTTTCTTTGTTTCCCCTATGACCCTTAGAAACAGTATTGTGTTTACATTATAAGAGGGTTTGTATTTGAGGAACTTTGGCTCTTTAAGTGTTTGGGATTATTTGAGTTTGTGTTGAGATTTATTTTGATGGCGTTATGTGTTAGTTGTTTGTAATTTTATTTAAATTTGTTTGTAATTTTATTGTAAATATGAGGTTTTTTATTACGAAAAAGATGTAAGGTTTGATAATGAGTTTGATTTTGAATAGAATGCGAACATAATCACACTAATTTAATGTGTAGTAATGGAGGGTGCAGAAAAAGTTGCGTTGGCGATTGAAAAATATGAAGATTTTTGTCGGGTGCATGATCGTATTTTGGAGGTTTTGAAATTAGGTGCTATTGAAATGAAAAAGGATGTTTTACGCAAGAGGGATGAGGTTGATTTGGTGTTGAAGGATGCCGGTGAAGGTGTGCAAAGTGCAATTGACGAGGCACCAATTGTGGTAGTTGCTTTTGGCGGGTTCTTAAATCGGTTGAAGCGTGTTGCAGACGAAGGTGCTGCGCAGTTGAAAAGGTTGCGTGAAGATGAGCAGATGGAGAGGGAGAAAATTGATTTGGTGTTGTTGGAGTACAATAAATAGGCAATTTTTAGGTGTTGGTACATTTAATAAGTACATTGGATAAGATAGTGTGGTTTTTAAGTTTATGTATGTTTTGTGGGATAAATGTACTGTGTGTTCTGGTTATTTTAAAGATTTATTGAACCATGATGGGTATGGTGGTATATATATAGTAAAAAATAGGTCATTATCTGTTTGAATTTCAAATTCTTGAGCGCTGTTATGTCTATAATGTTTTAAAGTTTGTCGGTGGTTTTAATGGTGTTTTAAATCTAAAGGGTGAGTGGATAACATACTACTCTTATAAAACGATCCCGGAGACAACTACACCGTACGTAGAGCTACGTGTGTTTGGAGTTGGCTAGCTGATGTGTTCTGCGATTTACTGTGTTGCATTTTTTTGCTAAGGTTTTAAAAAAAGCTTTTTTTGTATGATTCGGCAACCGTGTCATTGTTTAGGAAAGTATATCGGACACTGTGACATAAATATGTGTACGCCGTGGTTCTTCGATGATATGGTCGTCGATGTGGCTGAAGTGAAGACAAGAAATAAATTTGGAAGAAATTTGCTTCCCGTTGTCGCAAATTTGTATGGTCGTTATTCTTGTTTATTACATTGGTGATACCGACTGCAGTGCCAGACGGTGCAGAAGGCATGAGAGTATACCTTCTTCGCGAGTGTGGTGTTAGCCGAAGGCGAAGTCACGTGCCGGGAATTGTTTGTTTTTCCGTTGATGATAAACTTCGGAAGGACTTTCCACTTTATATTTGGTAGTTTATGTAGTAGCGTTTTGTTTTGTTTGGTTTTTAAATAAAATTGCTTGTTCGGTACGGTAGTCGTTTTGTTGTCCAAGGATATGTCTCGGATGGTGTGTTGTTTTCCCAGAGGCATGGTTGGTGACGTGTCTGAAAGAGAAAAAACCATATCAGGATTGATGATGGGTATGGTAGTATATATAGTAAAAAATGGGACATTACTTGTTTGAACTTCGGATTCTTGAGTTCTATTATGTGTATTATGTTTTAAAGATCGCCGGTAGTTCTAATCGTGTTTTTAATATTTATTTAAAAGGTGGGTGGATAACATATTGCTCTTATTAAATGATCCCGAAAACAGCTACGCCGAACGTAGGGCTACGTGGGTGGAGATGGGTAATTGATGTATTCTGTGATTTACTGATGTGTATTTTTTTGCTAAGTTTTCTAAAAAATCTTTTGGGTTGGATTCGGTAACCTTGTCGTTGTCCAGGAAAGTATATCGGATAGTGTGTTGTTTTCATGATGACGTGGACGTTGGTGTGGCTGGAGTGAAAAAAAGGAATAAACTTGGAGGAAATTTGCTACCCCTTTCTCGGTGACAAGGTTATAATGAATATTTGTTGATTGTTATTTGCCGCGTGAGTTAAGGTAAATTCACGAAGATTTACTACTTCAGTTGCTTGGAAATTTTATGGTAGGGACTAAATAGCTTCATGCCAAGCTCACAGATCCGAATTGAGCGAACTGGTTCCGCATTGCTCAATGCTTTTCCAAGCTGAGATGGTGTTTTTCCGTTGCCTAGCCTCTTTGCAAGTTTCGCTGAGGGGAAAAATTATCAGCCGGACCCACTTACGGTTGAGGTTCGAGTTTACAACCTCTAAGCAATCCTAGTCGAAACTTTGTTTTGATCCAGGCCGATGTTAGGAACGCCTAAGCGGTAGGCTCTATGGCCGAGACTGGCTACGCATGTGCTTTAAGCTACTCAGACATGGACGAAGCTTCAAACTCCATTGGCGGGGTTAACAACGACGAAGCTTCAACTTTTGCCGAAACCCAGGTTATGCCGATGTTAAGGCCGTGACGAAGTGTAAGCTACGCTGAGGATCAAGCTTACAATCGCTGCCGGTGCCACGTATGGTTGAAGGCTATGCCGAGTTTAATAGATCACGGCCGAAGTACTCCAATCGCCGCCAGTGTGTAAGCTCGCCAGCTCTAACTGCCGAGATTTATCCGAAGCTACCACAAGCTGCCAAAGCTGAAGTGGTTTAATGAAGCCATGCGCTGAAATCAGATGATGTTGCTACTATTCAACGATGTGTGATAACAATTTCAGAATACAATGGCAGGACCGTAAATAGCATCCAAAGTTAAGGGTAGATTATAGATAGATAGGTGTTATATTATGGATTACAGCTCTTAGATTTTACTTATAATATTAGTATAAGAGTAACTCTAACAATCCACTAATATCAGATATTGTTATACGATCAACTATGTTTTAATAATAATAATTTGTAGTACTTAATAATAACTACTAATTATTAAGTACTACAAATTATTATTAAGTAATTTCATGGGTATTCATGAAATTCATATTTGAATTTAATTATTATAAAGAAAATTATTATTAAGTATATAACTCATAAAATTCATAATGACAAAACCAGTACTATTGTCTATTACTACTATCTTTTGTAGTAAATGGAAAGGTTTGTCCCCCACAATGTTTTTAATGCTTCCATTGTCAGTATTACCCTTGGAAAGTGGGTATGGTCCCTTTCACATTAGCAGAGGCAGACATTCGTGGCAGCTTAAAGGAAGTGTCATTTCCTTGACCAAAAGAAAAAGAAAAATGCAAGAAGAGGGAAGTTCTAAGCTAACTATTAACAAAGCAACACCGAGGTGTTTAAGTTTCGTGCTACGGCCGAGGTTTAAAGCTCCATTTAAGATATGGCCGAGGTTAATAATTCTGAGGTTCGAGAATCTATGCATGCCATGCTTCTCAGCCGAAACCATACATAGCTGAGAACTAATCGTATTTATGCATTGTTGCTTGTGGCAATATTGGTGAATGAATCTAAGTGAGGCAAAAATGAGAGTATTTATACTTTCGTTCTTTTCGACAATGGAACCCAAAACAGAGTCCATTATCTCTAAATTGGCGTTGAAGTTCCCCCACACTGGGTGTTTGTAAATGTAGCACTTTTTTCGATATCCAGAAACATCCCTTTTTATGAGTGGGCATTTTGGATTCGGTTTGACGCACGATCCATGTATAATATGAGTCTAGATATGTATCAGGAACACGTGGCCGGAACACCACGTTGTACACGTATTTATATTGCCCCGCAGGAAATAGTAGTTGATCTCCGTAATGGGAAGTTGGACTGTATTTGGTGTTTTTGTTACACGGTGATTAGGTTTGCGTGCAGTGTGCTTGATGAGAAGTTTAAATCATAAATTACATTATTTGAATGTAGTTGTTTAAAATCTAATTTAGGTTAATAACTTTAGGGTAAAAGGAACTCGGCAAGAGCAACTATTGTACGTTTAAACTAGAATGTTGTTGAGAGTAGGGGCCTTTAGTTTAATGCAGTCGTTGAAATTTTAATTTACAGTTTTAGGTTTGCTGAAAGTATGCTCCGAATCTTCGGCGGTAGTTTACATAGCATGTTTCAGTTAATGACCTTCAGTTGCTGGTGTATGGAAGAGCGTTGTTGCAACCGCCTAAATTGAGGTATTTCGGATTCCGGTAGTGTTGACCAAGGCTTGACGTTTGTTTAATTAAAATTAGGAGGTAATGTATATAGTGATTGTGTTTGTTTGTTAATTCAATTTATTAGTGGGATAGTCTAAGTAATGTATATGGTAATTGTGTTACAATTACTATCTTTATTTGTTTTTGTATTAGATTTATTTGTGGAATAGTCTAAGAAAGTATTGTAGCAATCAGTGGAGATTCTTACAAGTGCCGAGTCTAGAAATGCCGAAATCCCAAGCGCCGTGTCATGGCCGACGCTTCAAGCTCGGATAAAGTACCCTCGGCTTATTTGGACCCCAAACAGTAAATAAATAGACAATCAATCAAGTTAACCTAATCAGGCAGATTCTCATTGCTACGATAGATGATAAATAGACAATTAATCAAGTTAACCTAATGTATATGGTAATTGTGTTACAATATATCTATCTGGCTAAATTTCTTCAGTAATCTGAATATCATTTTTATGCGAATTTTTTGATAAATAGTCTAAGAAAGTTATGTATATTTGATTTTGTTTGAATCGATAACGTATTGCTGTTAGGGACGATAACGATGATTATATATGTTATACGGAGCTTTGTTGGGTGTATTTTGCGTGTTATATGTGTTGTATGTTCGAATGTATGTTGCATGTTGCGTGGTTGTTTTTGACGAAAACATGCTGTTGCTGGAGTTTTGTCAATTTATACAAGCTAATTAAATATGCCATGTTAAAATATTGGCAGTGTATACAAGCTAATTAAGTATACCATATCATAAGTAAATAAATAAATAACTGTCGAGCATTTTGTTTATGTTTGAAGGTGATGAATTAGAAATGACGGAACGTGAGTAAGTACGTTTGACGAAGAGTGTTACGATATCTAAAGTCGGATAATGGTGAAAAGGAAAAAGGGTCGTGCTGTTATCTATCTAGGTCAGTTTCCTTCGGGAGAAGGCTCACTTGCATGCAAAGGGTATCGGGAAGCGAAGGGAGGATGTGAGGGAGATGTGGAGAAACTTTCGGTTTCTGGTTCTGTTCGGAGTCAGCATGAGTGTGTGCAACAGAACGTGTGGAAAATGTCCACTGAAGCAGAGGGTCGAGTCATTGTTAACTCGGGACAAAGTCCTTCGGAAAACGCCTTTCGTGTTGCTGAGATGAACAAACAATGTGTGGGCGTAGCCGAGACATTTGCGGGCGGAATTCGAGTTTTGCATCCTGTTCGGAATCTAGAAGAGGAGTTTTCGCAGAAAACCTGTTATCCAGTATCATGTAGTATCCGGGCGTCGGAAAAACACCCAGACGAAGAAACTTCTCGACGGGCTGCTGCCTTTGTTACGGACATTGAAGTAGGAGAGAATGTGAACTGGGAATTATCGTCTGCTAATTCTGTCCAGGTTTCTGTACAACAATACGAATCACAGTGAGTCTCTGTTTTTTTTGGTTTATTTTTGTAGCAGATTATCTGTTATTGATGTGTTTGTTTTATTATTTATAGGTACAAATCACGAAAACGTAAGGAGGTCATAGGTCGTATGCCCAAGGCTTTTACTCACGGTAAGAGTAATGAAGGTGAATATGATATATCGTGTGCTGTTATTTATTTGGTTTTGATGGGGTTTGTTCGGGTCTTGGTGGTTATACCTTTTGCTGCAGTAGGGCAAGCCCTAACAGACGGTGCTATTGTGCTTAATAATGCAGATTTTCAACGTGTAAGCAAGTGTCGGCGTTTGTTTTGTCAGTTTGCAGATGCAAAAACAGGGCATGCAGAGGGTATGTATTATTCTTTCAGGCTATGATGATTGTTTAAACTGGTTAAGTTAAAATCCGAATACTTATGTAGTATAATATGTGTTGATATTTATTTGTTTTTTTTTTGGCTTAGTTTGGGTTTTGGTAGTTATACCCCTTGGTGCAGTGGGGCAAGCTCTAACAGATGGTCCTTTTGTGTTTGATGATGCAGATTTTCAACGTAAAAGCAAGCGTCAGCGTTTGTTTTGTCAATCTACGGATGCAAGAACAAGGCATATAGGAGGCATGTATTACACTTTTTAGACAATGAATATTTAGATTGGTTTTGGAGATACGTGAACACGTGTGGTGCTTAATGGTTACTAATTACTGTTGCTTGTGTGGATTGATATGGCTGATAATTGCATGAAAATAAAGTGTGCAAAAATGGTAATATGAGATGTGTTGAAAATTTACATTTAGCGGTTGATGTATAATTAGGTGATAAGGTAGTGATTTTTTATGGATTGGGATTCTGAAGTTTTAAAAAATGTTACGTATATAACACAATTGGTTACAGTTATAAGCTAACAGTATAGATTAAAGATTAATTTATATGAATGTTATCAATGGATGGGTAAATATAAGCGATTCACGTTTGACAATGTATTACACTTCTATTGTTTTAGTTAATATCTTGTTGATTAATATTGACTTTAATAAACTAATTTTAGATAAAGTGGGAGGTTCTTCTCAGGATTGTCGACAAGGACAGAGCAAACGCCAGCGTCTTTTGAGACGAGCTTTGGTTGCTAGGACAAATTATACAGAGGGTATGTATTATTCTTTCAGGCTACGATGATTGTTTAAGCTGGTAAAGTTAGCATCTGAATACTGACGTAGTATAATATGTGCTGCTATTTATTTGTTTTTTTTTTGTTTTGTTTGGGTTTTGGTAGTTATACCTCTTGCTGCAGTAGGGCAGGCTCTATTAGACGGTCCTTTTGTGCTTGATGATGCAGAGTCTTGTTTGCATTGTGGTGCAAAGAAATTTATGTACGAATCTCCACATTTTTGTTGCTGCAGTGGTTAGGTTGTGATTGCAGTTAATGAATTTCCTGATGAATTATGTCGTTTATATGTATCGCAAGATGAAGATGCTAGACATTTTCAGAAGTATAGCCGAATGTATAATAATTTGTTTGCTTTTAGTTCTATACGTGGTAAGACTGAGTCAACAACATATAAAGGGATATATGTGTTCAAAATGCATGGGCAGGTATATCATTGTGTTCCAGATTTATTACCCGATGATGATAGTCCCAAATTTTTACAGTTGTATTTTTATGATGGTCAGCATGAAATGGAAAATCGAGTTAAATGTTTTCCAGAAGTACGGGAAGATGTTATTCGTATCTTGATGAAGATTACTGAAAATAATCGTTATGCCAGATTTTTTAGATCGTTAAAGGAAATAAAGATAGATGAGAACACACAAATAGTATTAAGACAGAATTCTGTTTTGGAACAACATGTTTATATTGCACCTTTGTCGGATGAAGTTGTTGTGGTATGGCCTGACGGTGTTTCTTCTGATCAGATCAGCACTCCGCATATACTTTTGTATGGAAAGTCTGGTCAAACTCATCGAATCTATCATTATTATGGGTGTTATGATCCATTACAGTATCCACTGTTATTCCCCAGTGGTGAATGTGGATGGACTCAAAATCTGAAAAAAGGAATGCTATTGGGAAGAGGCGAACACAACAGGTTACATATCCTGTACATTCTTGTGCGGTTCATACGGTGCAAGACTTCTTAGATTAAGAAGCGTCACGTAAGTCTGTGTTTGATTATATAAGAATATTATCTTTGTATACGTTTATTTATCGTAAAACTGTGTGTTTTGAGTTTTGGCATTTTTGTTTTGCAATATATAGGTGCTGTTAGACATAGGACGAGGGCTGATAGATACATTTCTCCGAGGGAATATTATGCTTACAAACTTCAGATTAGCCCGCAAAATATGCTTCTAAGAGGTGGAAGATGTTTTCAACAGTTTGTTGTTGACATGTACGTAAAGATAGAAAATTCAAGACTTGATTATTTAAGAAACAATCAAGAAATTATAAGAGTTGACCTTTATCAAGGTATTCTTGATAGTGTGGCGGGTGGAGAAACTGATGCTTCTAAGATTGGGCATTTTGTTGTTTTGCCTCCTTCGTTCATCGGTTGTCCTAGAGACCTTAAACGTCGATATTTAAACGCTATGGCATTGGTTCAAAAATATGGGAAGCCGGATCTTTTTATTACCATGACATGCAACGCAAATTGGTCAGAAATAAGGGCTGAATTGCAACCAGGAGAGAAAGCCCAGGATAGACCGGATATAGTAATTCGGGTATTTCGTGCTAAATTATTAGCATTGAAAAAACAGATAATGAACCAGAAGGTTTTTGGTAAAGTGGCAGCAATGATTTATGTTGTTGAATTTCAGAAGAGGGGGTTACCACATGCACACTTTTTGATAATACTCGAACGTAAATTCAAGATAAGAGGGCCAACAGAGTATGACAAATTTGTGTCTGCTGAAATTCCGTCGTGTGATAATCCTGTTCTTCGTAAGATTGTCTTGACTCATATGATGCATGGGTCGTGTGGGAAATTGAATCCAAAATGTCCTTGCATGAAAAGGAATGGGCGTAAGTTGGCATGTAAAAATGGGTATCCAAAAAATTATATGTTAGAGTCAGAAAACAATAGAGATGGATATCCTTTGTATAAGAGAAGAGAAACAGGTGAGAAGGTGAAAATTAGACATGCTGAGTTAGATAATCGATGGGTAGTACCGTATAATCCGTATTTACTGCTCATGTTTGATTGTCATATGAATGTTGAGGTATGTTCAACTATTAAAGCGGTAAAATATTTGTACAAGTACGTATACTAAGGGCATGATCGAATCTCGTATAAGATTACTACCTCGAATGAAAATAAAGTCGATGAGATTGAGCAATTCCAGTCTGGTAGGTAGGTGTTGGTTATTTAATTTGTATTAGGTGTTGGTTATTTAATTTGTTTACGTTGGAGAATTGAACACATTTTTACTTGTAGGTGGGTTTCCCCGTGTGAAGGAGTATGGCGGATATTTGGATTTGATTTGTACGAAATATATCCTCTTGTTATGCCACTGCCTGTACATTTACCGAATATGCAATCAATTGTTTTAAGACCTCGTGAAAATCTCAGACGGGTAGTTAGAGATTCGAAGCGTTCACGAACACCGTTGACGGAATATTTTATAATGAATGCGACGATCGATGGCGGCACTAATCTTTTATATGGTGAATTTCCAGAGCATTATAGATGGGATTCAAAAATAAAAGAATGGGTTGAAAGGAAAAATGATGTCACTGTTATTGGGAGGATAGCATTTGTTTTGCCTGCTGAAGGTGAACGTTATTTTTTGCGGCTTCTGCTGTTGCATGCTAGGAATGCAAAATCTTTTACAGATTTATGTATGGTTGGTAATTATGTTTGTGCTACGTTTAAAGAAACTGCTAAACGGCTTGGTCTTTTGGAAGATGATGATGCAGCGTCAATATGTTTAGCCGAAGCTTCTGAGATCCAGTTACCAGATGCTTTAAGCGACTTTTTGCGATGGTTTTGATTTTTTGTCAGCCAAGTGATCCGTGTGCTTTATGGGAAAAATATTATACGTCGCTGTCGGAAGATTTTGGGTATAAATTTAAGGATTGTCCTGATAAAATCAACCAGCTTACTGTTAGTTTGTTGGAACAGCACCTTGAATCGATGGGTAAATCACTAAAGACTTTTGGTTTAGATCATCTATGTTATATTGTCCGTGATGATTTTAGGAGAACAAGAGATATAGTTGATGCATTAAATACGGCGATTCCTCAGGAATTTATAGATAAGAAGGAGTGTTTGAATGTAGGTCAGTTGAAAGCATTTGATTGTATAATGAAACATGTTTGTGAAAATACGGGTGGGGCTTTTTTCATTGATGGACCGGGTGGCACGGGAAAGACATTTTTATACAATTGTTTATACGTGGAAATTCGACGGATGGATAAAATTGTATTGCCTACTGCAACATCTGGAATTGCGGCATCAAATCTTCCTTCAGGGAGAACGGCCCATTCTAGATTCAAAATACCAATTGATTACGAGAACTCCTTTACGTGTGATGTGCCAAAACAGGGAAGCTTAGCGCAGTTAATAAAAGAGACGACTTTGATTATTTGGGATGAGGCTTCTATGGCCAACAAGGCAAATTTACAGTCTCTTGATTTGCTATTGCAGGATGTATGTGACAATAAATCACTTTTTGATGGTAAGCTTGTCGTTCTGGGTGGAGATTTTAGACAGGTTCTACCGATTGTACCTCAGAAGTCTTTAAAACAGGCTGTCGAATCAAGTATTGTGACTTCGTACATCTGGACATGTCTGAAGAGGTTTAGATTAACGGAAAATCAAAGAGCTCGTGAAGACCTAGCATTTTGTTCGTTTTTGTTATCTCTTGGAAATGGTGATCTGCAATCAAATGAGTGTGATTATGTTTGTCTGCCTGATGGAATGATTCAGCATCTGAATATGGAGGGAGATCCAATTCTAGAGATTGTAAATGCAACATTTCCAGAAGTTGGAGAAGGTACAATAACACCGGATATCTTTGCGGATAGGGCGATCTTAACTACGATGAATGATGATGTGGATTTGGTTAATTCGGTTTTAATTGGCCGGTTTCCTGGAGAAAAAGTAATTTATAAAAGTTTTGATGTAATGCTCAATGATACGTGCAATATATATCCAGTATAGTTTATAAATAAACTTTGTCCAGGTGGAATGAGTCCGCATGAGCTTGTCCTTAAAAAGGGTTGTCCAGTAATACTGTTACGCAATATAATAGTATATGTTGGACAATACAAAGGTACGACTGTTTTTGTGCACCGGGCGAACTTACGTCCGCCAGCAAATAGCAGGTATCCCATCACCTTTGAGAGGAAACAATTTCCTATAAAATTGTGTTTTGCCATGACGATTAATAAATCGCAAGGGCAGACATTAAATCGGGTGTCTATATATCTTCCTCGTCCATGTTTTTCCCATGGTCAGCTATATGTGGCTCTATCTCGGGCGAAAAGGGCTGAAAATGTTGTAGTATATGCCACCAAACCACCAGAAGGGTATCCTGCGAATTCGGTTAGAAATGTAGTGTCTTATGATATTTTAAGGTATTCGCATATAATCTAGCATTAAATATTTAATTTGTTGTTTAGCGTTATTTGTAGAACGTTGCTTGTTGCAGTAGTGTCTATGATAAATTGGGTTTAGCCTGATTTAATTTTTGTGCTATCCATTTGGTATCGTATATTTGCTGTACTATTATATGTGCTTTTTTGTAGACTTCTTTTCCTTGTATTAAAAAAGTTGCAGGTATCCTTTTCATGTTTTGTAGTTGGTTCATGTTGTTTATCATCTCTTTGTAACTGTTTATTGTGTTTTAATTCTTTGCGGGTAATTAATTATTATATAATATAGTATAGTATATATATAGTTTGAATTTAATTATGCATTGGTCAAGTTTAATTGGTCGTTGATTATAAGTTTGATCAGGGTTTATAAGAGAAAGAGGAAGACAAAAAGGAGAAAAAAAAAGGGACTGGGTTTTTTCTGTTTTGAAAGTTGAGTTCGTTGGTGTTTGAGATGATTGTGAATAGTTAGTAGTGTTTCAGGGATGTGAATTTTGTAATTTTATGTAGTGAATGAAGGATAGTCGACAATTCTTTAGCTTAGAGGCCAATGATGCCAGTTGATGATTTGGTTATTTTGTTCTTGTTAAGATATGTCTTTGATTTTGCTTATGATGAGGTCTCGGTACGAACTGAGGATAAAGAGCGTGGGTCGTCTGGTATATCACATTGGATGTAACGTAGATCTCCTCGCGGGTGTTCTTCAGCCGAAAGTCAGATGAATATTGGTGTGGACGGATCTTATCAAATGGTTGGGTAACGACCGTCACAAACAATTAGGTTCTGACATCCAGTTTATATATAATACGGGTTAGGTTTTGGTTTGATAAAGGAAATGAAAAAATAGTTATAATTTCGTCTGAATAAAATTTGAATAGTTTATATAGTCGGGACCGTAATTAACTGAGGTGTTTGAAAAATTCAGAGGTGTAGTGGATAGTTATTTTTTTTTTTATTATTTTTTTTTTTGAAAATGTGGGCAGGAGAGTTTAGTAGGATTTTAGTCGGTTTATCGAAATTTCAAATTATTTAATTTCGGGGGTTAGTATAAAGGAGTCTTTATTTCAGAATCCTAATTATATATTTGCAGACGTAAACACTTGATCGGAAACGAGTTAGGCAAAGGTAATTTCTTCTAGATTTAGTCTTTCTAGATTTAATAGATATTTTGGGATCTTAATTTCGAATAAGTATCTTCGACAGAAAATGCGTTGTGATCAACAACTGGTGAAGAGATTCGTGATTGACGACGAGGGGGATATTGAGGTATTTCAAGTACCTGTGGGTTCTGTCTCTTTCAAAGAATGGGAGGAGCCAACTACTTCTGTGAGTGGTTGCAGACATGGGTCTCGACGATTGACCGAAGGTGCTGAAGAATGGTATAATCCTATTGAAAATTCGGGGATTTCGACTGCTGTTCCATACAGTTGGTGGATCGTGGAGAACCTACGACATCGGTTTGCTGAGCAAATTGAGATTTTTATGGTATTTACGAACAGGATGGGTATTGGTGTCGAATGTCAGTTTTCGAAGACAGGATTCACAGACCTCCGCCTGGGTATGTTGGGGTATATATTAGGCAATTACAATTTGGGCTGAGATTCCCTCTTCACCCTTTCGTAATCCAATTGCTGAATGGATACAACATTTCGCTGTGTCAGCTTACCCCAGCCAGTATTCGTCGGGTAATGACGTTTTTATGGGTTTCTCTTTTTTATGGATTTCACCCTAATATTCATGTATTTCGGAGGCTGCATGATCTGGTGCCGGATAATGTATCGAACAATCGGCATGGTCCTGGATGGTGGCAAATAGAATCACGGGAATGGTTTCTGACGTCTTGGCCAGATGACACGTTTGATGAAGATTGGAGGGGTCAATGGATTTGGGTGAGAGCTCCATACGAACAAAATCATCCGAATTATTTTGGGGCGTCAAGGAATCTGAGGATGCCTGATAGCAATATGTCTGCTATTGGTCCTGACGATACGTCGACTGAAGATTTGCATATATTTAATCTTTTTGGAAAAAGGAGAATAAGGAAGCGAGGCCGAGATCAATTTGTTCCAGAAACTTGGCTTCCCTGCTACCATTATATCTTTCAAGAGAAGATTTTAGCGGCGGTTGGTCTCAGTCGAGTATATTGGGGTGGTGAGAATTCCGGTTGTTGCCGAATGATTATGTTTGATTTTTTACTATTATAATGTTATTTTCCACAATTACCGTCGTGATTTTACATTTGTTGCATGAAACAGTATACTATCAACACTTATAAATTACCTTCTTTTTATGATAAAGATGAGACAAATTATAAATTAAGTTATTTTGATTTTTGTATTTTCAGTGTTGGATGAGGCGAACTGTGGGTTGAACTATAGGTGTCTGGGAATAAACAGTAAGCGACGTGTGATAAGGAGTAATCCCTCGGTCATTGTTCAGTCTGAAAGACCTCCTTCGTTGTGCGTTTCTAGGTTAGACATAGTTGATTCGGAAATATATTCTAAACAGAAGCCTTGGTATTTAAAATCGGATCCATTTTTCCCTCTGAGCCCAGAAGAGGAAGCCGGTGTCATTGTTGTTGCTGCTGCTGCTAATGGAGTCGTGAAAACCGAGGGTATAGCGCACGAGTCAGAGTTTGTTGTTGGGATTGATGCTGGAGGTAGAGGGTTGTTAAGGGCTTCAGTGAGTATAAGTTTATTTGTTGCTTTGTAATGTTTTACAATTCTCTTAGAGTACAAATTTGTTTACAAGATTTGGGTTTGGGTATGCTTGTTATGTGTAATTTAGTGATTGTTTAGTATGTGGGGAACAACTGATAACTTTTTTCATCTTTCTTCTATAAATTAGTGATTGTTTGTCGTTTTCGTTTGGGCTATACAGATAATACAATTCTTCCATTGTTCTTTTGCTTCGTTGTAGGTTGATGAAGTAGAAACAGCGGTACGTGAGGAGGCATCTTTATCCCTTTCTTTTTCTGCAAGAGAAGATAACGACGGAATGGCTAGAAGGAGAGAGGCTCCAGTTGTTGTAAGACCAGGTCAACTCCCTCTGGAGGATTCGTCTCGTTCACCTAAGGGGTCTCATCAAGGCGGAGTTCTTTCCAAAATAGTAAGTACGAATTCACCAGAACCCTTTTGTGTTTGAAATCAGGAAATTCTAAATACTTTTACTGTTCAGGTTCTGGACGGAGATGTCCAGCACAAGTTTTGTTCTTCGAGTCTCAGTCGACCCCAACGTTTGACGTATCACTTTTCTGGGAATGTTGAAAGACAGATCGATGTTTTCGTTACACAATTTGATAACGACGATGTACTGAATCTCGAGGATATTTCGGTGGGTCTCGAGAAGAGCGAAAAATGTGTTGGAGTTTGTCATCAGGAAGACGTGCCATCCGTTTCTGGCGTAGAATCGTTCAAGACCTTTAAGTCCAATGAGATGGGGTTTGATTCTGCCCCGTTTGTGGTTGTCCCTGAGGCTGTGAGGGACGGCTTGATGACGAGCCGGGGTCCAGCTGTTGAGTTTTTCGGGGGCTTCTCCGGTATATCCGAGCTGGAAAAAGCCCAAGTATGGTCAACTCGGGCCGCTGCTGGAGTATCCGAATCAACTGAAAAGGTACCAGATCCCGTAGCCGAAAATTTCAGGTTGCTGATGCGGGTAATCTCCCTTACTTTCGTTTGCCTTTGTTTTTTATTTATTATTCTTTTCTCGGCTCTCTTTTTTAGAGGTCTATGTTAAAGTGCTTAACTCCGAAATAGCGGACATAGTTTGATTTTGCCGAAGATGTAATTCTCGGTATGCAGGTTATTCAGAACCATGTAATTATTGCTGGCTTGAATGAGGAGCTCAGGAATAAGCCTGGGACGGCCGAGCATCTAGGTCACGTTGCGGATCTGGAAAAGGAGCGTGTTGAAAAGGCTTTTTCGGAAAGTCAAACTCAGCTGAAAATGACAACGGAAATTTTGCGTAATTTTTGCCATGAACTTGAGCAGTGCTTTTTTCCTGGAAATAAGGAAGATGAAGATACCGCCTGTTTCTATGGAGCTGAGAATGTTCTAGATTTACGGCTCCGGATTCAGCAAAGGTTCCGAGAAGAGGTATCGACTAAAGAGTTATTGGTTAAACAACTGAATGACGAAATTATTCTCGTCAATGAGGAGACTAATAAAAAGCAGACTGAGTTGAAGAATAACATAAATTGTCTAAATGATTTGATTTTAGATAAAGATCTTAAGCTGACGGAAGTCCAAGATAAGCTTCAAGCTGAAAAAGATTCTGCTATCAAGGATAGGGTTGATTTAGAGAGTGTAAGAAAACGGCTGAAAACCCATATCTACACGCAAATGCAGTACGATGAAGGTTATGAAAATGGGTTTAAGATTGCTCGTCGTCTTGCAATTCATCTAGAGCTGGGTATTAACTGGGATGAGGCTGAAAAATGGTCTATGAACTCTGGCCATCCAAATATGCAGAACCCGCACCCTAATGAGCTCACTTTGCTTGGAAGTTTATCTAAAGAAGAGGTGTTGGAAGTAGATGAGGACGGTGAAGAGGATGGGCCTGGAATTGATAAAATTGTCAATATTGACTCATCTGAAGCCGCTGAAACCTAAATGGTTCTTTCTGTTGATGAAGTAAATGCTGAGGTTTAGGAATTTGGGTAGTCGTCTTCTTCGTCTAGCAGATCTACAGTTTTTTGGGTATTGAATTCCCGTGTTTACTCTTTTACTTTCTTATTACATAGGTTTTGGATGGACATATGTGTTGAATAATTGTATTAATTTCAGTTTCGAGTTGTGTTTGGTTCGGCGACTGGGTTTACAGCCGTGGGTGGATGCCGAAAAATAGTTTGCAATTTTCGTTGTTGTGGAGAGTGTTATCTTTTTTAACTGTGGTTTCGGCTTGACTGTCAGGTTCCGTATCAGCCAGTCTAGATTTCCGTTGTTTGAGAGTTTGCAGTTCTTATTGTTTTCAAGTGGATTAACTTACCATATTCAATTACATGGATTTCAGTTATAAAATAAAAAGATCTTACATGTTTAAAATATCGGCAAGAAGTTAACTTTTGTTTGGATTTTTTTGCAGAGTATGCAGACGCAGAGCTTGCTGTTTATTATAATGAGTAATTATTTCTTTAGATTATCTGACATCATTGGTAGATGATTGAATATAATCACTATTCGATCAGCTATATCTGTGCTAAGCTAATTTTAATTATCAATGTAAATAGTCTTAAACAAAATTATTTCTAGCTCAGTAATATACATAAATTTGAAAATAAAGGTTATATTAAAGCATTGTAACATAGTCTTAAACAAAATTATTTTATTATTGAAATGAAGGTGGAATAGGTCAAAATTTTAACAATAGTCTTAAACAAATATTTTGCCATGAACACGCATACACCCATTGGTGTACTATGTATTGAAGAAATATAAGTGATCTTCGGATGTATTAATTCCCACTGATAATTCTACACACCGATTAATAGTTGGCTGCTATTTTAAGAAAAAATAGATCGATCAAACACATTTCTGTGGAACAGCATCACGACATATAATATTACGTTCTAAACTAAAGATAATTAAAGAAACATTAATTTAAGACAAATAAGATGGTATTTTATTATAGTTGGAGACAGAAGGATTAATATACAATAGAGCAAGTTTAAAGGTATTACGTGTTTGTTTCGTAATACCATCTTAAAAATCTGGCAAACATCATAATAAATTCTAAAAAGTTTGATTTCACCACGATATTAAGAATCTATTGTTATAGATTTCAATCACCACTTGTACTCTTATACATATCAGAGTCTTGAACCGAATCCTCACCATCTTCGTTGTCATTCCTATTAACAGAACCGGACTCGCCGTCGTCGTCGCTATCATCACGTCTGTCGCGATCTTCATCGTCGTCGTCATCATTTAGATCAGTATCATCATCATTATTAGTATTATTATCAACGGTATTTCTTTTAGGATGGAGTTTTCGGGCCCGGGGTCTTGAATCAGGGATTTCACTATCTGATGACACAATTATTACTTTTGGGTGACTATTTAAATCATCGTCCATTCGTTTACTTTTACTGCTGGGTTCTCCTTTTTCTACATTGCGTTTCGTAGTATTCGGAGTATGTTGCTGTAGAAAATCGAGATGACTATTCATTCTCTTTGTCATACTAGCAAAATATGATAAGAAACTTGAAATTTTTTCTTGTTCAAAATCTCCCTTGTTCGGCTTCCATGCATCTGGATAAAAGGCTTCCCCGTAAGCCGCAGTGCTATCAGTGCTTGCCATTATTGTTTTTCTTTTTTAGAAAACTAAAGGAAAGTAGAGGATAGAGAAAACCAAGTATGGGAGAGGTAGAAAAAAAATATTGAAAAAAAAAATAGTAGAATGATGATAAAGATAAGATAATTGTAGATATATATAGCCAACCATTTTTCAATGTGAACAATTATTACTTCTTCTTGAAAGTACAAGACCTTGTATTTCCGGATAAAAAATTAAATCCCTTCTACACGTAAAGTAGTCTCTAAACAGTGAAAAAATGTTAAAACAGAAAGGTGTACTCTAAAAATACTTTATTATATGTAATACCAATGTACACATGTATTAATTGTTTAGTATCATTCTCTCTTCTTCTCAAAAATTAAAAAAAAAAAAGACAAACAAGAAAAAAGAAAAAAACTAATTGTAACTGCTCCGTAAATGTAGAAAAGTAACCTCCCATTAACTTTCATTATTAACTGCTCCGTACTTTTTTTTTCTTCTTTTTTCAAAATAAATAATTTTTAATAATATAGATATGATAGACAACTTATTAGTCTAATTAGTGTATATTTATTTGGTACCGTTAATTTGGCACTAGGATAACAGCATGCACAAATTTTAATCTGCACATTCAATTGTGTTCTATTTAAGCGTACTGAAAAAAGAAAAAGGATAAGTAAGAAGGAATAGGTAATGTCTACACTTTAAATATATATGATTATTATTATAATTTGAGAAATAGGGGAAAAAAGGGAAAAAAAAAAACAAAAAAGGTATGTGCAGTTATTTTTAAAACAGAAAACAGATTTAGAAAGTACAGTAGTTAAAATTTTTAAAAATTTAACAGGAGGAAGAATAGGAGAGGTTTTCTTGAAATTGAAATTGCTTAGACTAAATAATAATTAAACACTTTTACGCGAACATATATGATTAAGTAAATAACCGATGTTCACTTTATAACTAATACGAAGTAGTTAAATAAGGTGTCCATATAGTAGGGTTTTTTTTTATGCATTTAACTTATTTTTTATGAGTCGTGATTAGAATAAATAACTGATATTTACTTCGTAACCAGTAGTTAAGTAAAGTGCCCGTGTGCTTAAATTTTTCATATTTCTTGATAGACATTATTCCATAATCTAACATAGTTATTTATAGCTATTCATTTAAACATATATATTGTAACTGATCTTTTTGGAAAAAAAATAAAAATTGTTTTAAAACAATTCAATAAATGGAAAAAAAACTGAAAAAATAAAATTTCAAAATATTGGAATTTAGATAGCTTCTACAATTAGGGCCATAAATAAGGAGTTACATTGAAAATTTAAGAGGTTTAGTGGGTAGTTTTCTTTGAGATAACGTGAACAGTAAGGGTGTAATTGGATTTTTGGTAGTTTTTCGATACGAAAAATCATCTATTTTCAAAAGATCGTATTAGAAAATTTGTTTTCTCAGTTTATCAGTTACTTTTTTACGGACACAAACCCTTGTATTCGTTGTTATCTTTCCCAATTCTGAGATTTCATTCCAAATTCCTGTGAATCTCCGAATTACTTAATCTCAGAAACCTTCCCAATTCTAAGATTTCGTTCCAAATTCCTGTGAATCTCCGGATTACTTAGTCTCAGAAACTTCGGCATTCGGGCTTGACCGGCGGCGAACCAGATAAAGGTAATTCTTTCAAAAATTAATTTGAGTTTCTTTATTTTTTTTAAAATTTAACTTCGAGTCGATAGTTTTACGGGAAAAATGTCTAGAAATCAAGAATTAGTCGAAGGATTTCCGACTACTAAACAGATGGCTGCTGGGGTACTTCAGTCACCTCTGGCCTCTGTAATTTCTAAAGAGTGGGAAGATCGCATTGCAACTGTAGATGGTAGTGAATATGGACAGCCACGATTAACCAAGGGTTCTGAAGAGTGGTCTGATCCTATTGAAAATTTTGGGATTATGAATGCTGCTCCGTACAATTGGTGGATTGTGAAGGATAAACAACACCAATTTGCTAAGCAAATAGAAATTTTTTACGGTATATACGAAAGGGATGGGTACTGGTGTCGTATGCCGGTTTCCGAAGACAGAATCCATAGACCTCCGCAGGGGTATGTCGGTGTATATACGAGGCAACTAGAGTTTGGCCTGAGGTTCCCTCTCCACCCTTTTGTCATCCAATTGCTAAATGGATATAACATCTCATTGTGCCAACTTACTCCGGACAGTATCCGAAGGATAATGACATTCTTATGGGTTGCCCTTTTTTATGGGTTCAAACCTAGCATTCACGTATTTAGGAAGTTGCACGATTTGTTGCCGGTTAATCAACTTGATAATCTACACGGTTCAGGATGGTGGCAGATTGAACCCCGAAAATGGTTCATGACGTCTTGGCCCAATGACTCCTGATGAAAATTGGAGGGGTCAATGGATTTGGGTGAGGGCTCCGCCTGAAGAAGAACATATGAACTACTATGGGGCGCCGAGAAATCTGAGAAAGCCTGATAACGGCATGTGTGCTGCCGGACTTGATGAAATGTTGGCTGTTGATATGCAGCTACTGAAATTGATTGGGAGGAAAGTTACAGCAAGACGAGGTCGAGAACAAGAATTTCCAGCAACATGGTTACCTTGTAATCACTATATCTTCCAAGAGCATATTTTAGCCGCAGTCGGCCTCAGCCGAAAATTCCAAATGGGTAAGATTTTCGGCTGGGGCCGAACGTTTTCTACAGTTGTATAGCTTTTTTATTTTCCATCTTATTTTAGAACCAAAAATGAAAATTTTCAATTATTTTATTCAAATTTCAGTACTACACGAAGCCAACTGTGGTTTGGACTACAAACGATTGGGGATAGGTGTTGAACGACGTGTGACGAGGAGTGCACCACCAGTCACTCCTGTATCCAAAAGGGCCCTTTCGCTGTGTGTTTCTAGGTTGGACATAGTCGAACCTGAGGAATATTAGAGACATAAACCTTGGTATCTAAAACGAGATCCATATTTTCGTTTGGGTCCCGAAGAGGTAATTGTTGCTGCTGATGCTGCATGTGTTGCTGGTGTTGTCGTGAGAACCGAGAATTTAACAGAAATTTCTGGAGCGAATAAGGCTATAGTTTCAGAAGGAAACGAGTTGTCTACAACTCTGGTAAGCACAAGTTTGTTTATTACCTTGTCATATCATAAAGTACTATTTTTTGTGTAAATTTCCGGGTTTCAGCTTTTTGCTCAGGTGTGCACGTTATAAATTGCTTTCAAAATTTTTTGCTTGAGGAAGATAAAAATCCGAATGCTGCTGTATTATGTCTGATTATTTCGTAAGAGACGAATGTATAGTTTCGGTTGACATTCTCCTGTAATCTGCTTCGTTTATCTAGATAAATTAGTTAAATACAGGGTTAGACTATATTTTGTGTGTCTATATTCGCCGGTTTTCTGTGGACCACATTAATAACGTAGTTTTTTCCACGTCCCCTTTCTTTTGCTGTAGATTGATGACATGGCTAGAAAAAGAACAAGTCGAGCTGTCATTAGACCAGGACAATTTCCTCTAGAGGAGTCGTCTCCTTCTCCTAAGAGGGTTCGGTTGAATGAGGGTTCATCTGAGGTGGGGATTAAGGAGACTCCAGCCTCCTTCCTTGCTCTGAACCGAGAGACGCCAGTTCCTATTCCGGTCTATAGTCGAGAAGAGGAGGTTCAGCAGGAATTGGTACCTGTGTATTTTGATCTGTCCCAGCATACGTCGGGGCATTTTGCAAATGATATTCAAAGAGAAACTGATGCTTTAATCTCATGTGATGTGAACGATGGTGGGGAGAATTTTAACAGGGATTCGGATTGTCTGAAGGAGGGTTAAAGGTGTGTTGAAGTGCCTCCCCAGGAAGATGTTCCGTCCGTTTCGGGAGTAGAATCAATCAGAACATTTCGCTCCAATGAGATGGGATTTGATTATGCACCCCTTGTGGATGTTCGTTCTTGGTGCTGTCAGGGACATGTTTTTAAAGAGCCGACAATCGGCTATTGATTTTTTTGGAAACTTAACGGGTCTATTAGAACTAGTACGGGCCAAAATTTGGTCAACTCGGGCTGCTGCTAGAGCGGCCGAACCGTTTGATAAAGTGCTGGATCCTATTGCCGAAATTTACAGATTACTGATGTGGGTAACCTGTTCATTTTTTGCTTCTTGTTTTACTTTTATTTATACCAGCATTTTCGCTATTTTAAGGTTAGTATTTAAACGTTTAAATTCGTACTGTCCGAGGTTTGTTCTTAACTGATTATTTCATTTTTAATATATAGGCTGTTCATAACCATGTACTTACTGCTTGTTTGAACGAGGAGTTAAAGGAAAAGCTTAAGACCTCCGAGCATCGGGCTGAAATGACGGAATTGAAGAAAAAAACTGCTGAGGCTTCTCTTTTGGAGAGCTAATCTGAGCTAAATCAAACAAAAGAAACTCTGCGTAACTTCTGTCAAGCACTTGAGCAATTCTTCTTCCCTCAAATAGAGCAAGGTGAACAGCTGATGCGTTTCTACGGAGCTAATAATGTTGCAGAATTAAAAGCTCGGATACAGGATAGATTTCAACAAGAGATGTCGGTTAGAGAGCAAGTTGCTAAAGAATTGAATGACAAGATTGAACTGGTTAAAAAAGAGGCTGATAAAAAGGAGTCTGATTTGAAAACGGAAATTAAGCGCCTCAATGATTTGATCTCAACTAAAGATCAAAACCTGTTGGATGCCAAAAAAAAGCTTACGGCTGAAAAGGACTCTGTTGCCAAAAGATAGGGCTGATTTGGTTGATGCAAGACAGCAGCTGAAAACGCGCATTTACACCCGAGAGCAATATGATGAGGGTTATGAAAATGGATTCAAGATTGCTCGTCGCCTTGCAATTCATCTTGAGCCAAATATTAATTGGGACGAGGCTGAAAAATGGTCTATGGACATTGATCACCCAAAAATGCGGCATCCACACCCCAACGAGGTTGCTTTACTTCATCGGTTGGCTAATCAGGAAGCGTTGGAAGAAGATACCGATGGTGAAGAGGAGGATGAACCACAGGGTGACAAGATTGCCAAATCTGCATCATCCGTTGCTGCTAACATTACGGCTGTTCCTGACACTGACGCAGTGAACGCTGGAGCATAGGAATTCGGGCAGTCGTCCGCGGAATCTTGCGGATCTACATGTTCGTGAAAGCTGAATATTCGCTTCTACTCTTTTGCCTTTTTGTTTCAGCTGGCCATATGTGCATAAAACTCTTATTAGTTTCTGTTTGAGAAAGTGCTTGGTTCGGCGGCTGTATCTTCCGCTTGTGGGCGGCTGCCGATTAGTGACTTCTTTTCTTTTCTTTTTTTCCAGAATGTTATTTATGCTACATGGAATCATCCTTAGTGCCAAATTTTAGCTCGGTGATTCAGATTACGAATGCTTTTTTCTTACTGTCTTTTCCAATCATTTTTTGTTTATTATTTTAGTTTAAAAATTAAAATATGAAATCATTCTCTTCGTATGTTATTAGTTCTTAGTTTTTGATATTATGAAGTAAAAACAATTTCGGTTGAACATCTAACTACCTGGTTTAGGATTTATTTTAACTTGAATATTTGCACTCAAATGTTTTGCCATTTTTCCAACTTTTAAGGTTGAGTTAAAAAGTTTGCTAATTCTGTGACTATTTTATACTTACCATGTGCTATTACAGTTTTTGTAATCATCCAACATCTTTGAGTGACCATTCGGATATACTACTTGAACCAAGGGAGTTGGATGGACCGAGGTTGAAGAATGTGGATTTTTTGCGGGCTTCGTTTCAATTTTCTGAAAGGCAACCGTATCATCCAGGATAGTGTAATTGAAATAAGCATACGTACCACTTGTTCATAAAGAGCATTATATGTAGGTGTTTAAGGGAAAAAATTAGTTGGCTATGTATCCTTATAAATAGACGAAAAGCCAAAAAAGTAAAGTGTACTTGGTTATGTATCAGATCATCGATCATGTGCTAAAAATTAATTAAGTAAAATGAATTACTTGTATTCTGTAAGGCAAATGTTTTTTTTCCTCCTTTCCTTTCGGATTATATGTTATTCCTGCAAATTACGTACTAACAACTTTAATCTTCATTTTGTGTTTAACGAAGGACACGTCTTAACCACTTTAATCTTCATTCTTCATTTAACGAAGGAGGCGAATTAATTGACGTATTAAGTACCACTATTTACGCCTACTTAAAAGTGCTTACAATTTAATACCTTCTACTGTAATGCTAAGTTTAAACACGGAGACTAATGCTGCCTTCACACGTGGAGACATAATTTTCTCATCATTAGTGTGATTTAATTTAATTTTTACTTTTCATTTACGTAATACCACAGTAATTAGTATATATGGTCGTCGGGATTTGAGTGAAAAGTCTTGAAAAAGGAAATAACTACTCGTTATTATGTACAAAAAAACGTAAAACTGCTCAGCTCATAGCTCATATGTCACCTTTTAAATGTGGATGATTGGAGTTGTGGGGTAGGGATGGGTTGGCTATTTAAAATGGGCTGGGCCATACTTTACTATGTACCTGGAAAGCTAATATATTTATTGGGCTTTAATATCCGATAGTTTAAACTTCCAGTAGTTCCACATTGATAGCCGTGATTTGAATTAGTTGGAATTTAGGTCGTTTTAATTAGCATTAAGGACCGTGTTTAAAAATCTGAAAGGTTTAGTGGGTAGTTATTATTAGTAATATGTATTTGGAATAAAGTTAGTAAATTTTGGGACGATTCATTAACTTGCTAAGTTACGGATTACGTGGACAACTACATAAATATTTTTTCTGCATCTCATTAGCCGTTCACTTGTAAACTTATCTTTCGAAATTGTGCGATTTGTCAGCGCTGCAACTATCGTATTTATTTAGCCCGTGACTAAACACTCCTTCTATCATTCGGCAGATGATTTTCTTCGAAACACAGTTATTGTAACTGCGTTTTTACTTCTCCAATTCTAATTATTCATTTCAGTTATTATTAGTCCGGAGTCTGATACACGATCCGTCGATCTGCAATTTGTTACTAGCGACTGCCGAAATTTCCAGAGGTAATTTCCCACCAAATTTCTTCGAATTCGTTTGCTTCCTTCCAATTTCTATTCCGATTTTGTATTTATTGGTAACAATGGTTCGAAAACGGAATTTGGGAAAAAGACCCGTACCTATTGAGGAAGGGGAGGCTAACGTGTCTCAAGATTTGCCTACAATTGGTCGGCGTAATCGACCGCTTGGGTGGATGCCACCTCTTAGTCACAACGACGTTTTCTCGAAAAACGATGAGAGGGAGCCGACAATTGAAACTCCGATTATGGTTGTACCCTTGTCTTCCTTGCCGTATAGAGAGCTTGAAATGCCTACCACCTCTGCGAGTGGTTCTACGCATGGGCCTCGGCGTCTGCCGATCGGGGCCGAAGAGTGGGACAGCCATACCGATAATTGGGGGGTTACATCTACTGTTCCATACACATGGTGGATTACGGAGGATCCTCGGCACCGTTTTGCTGAGCAAATAGAAGTATTTTATGGTATTTATGAAGAAGATGGATATTGGTGTCGGATGCCGGTTGCTGAAGATAGGATACATAGACCACCGCCTGGGTATATTGGAGTATATACTAGGCAACTGCAATCTGGATTGAGATTTCCTCTTCACCCATTTGTAAACCCATGTACTGAATGGATACAATATTTCATTGTGCCAGTTAACACCGGTAAGCATTCGTAGAGTTATGACATTTGTATGGGTTGCAATTTTTTATGGGTTTGACCCTAGCATCCATGTGTTTCGGCGGTTACACAATTTGGTGATGAATAAACAATCAAATGCTGATCACGGCCCGGGTTGGTGGCGAATTGAATCTAAAAAAGGGATTCTAACCACTTGGCCGAACGATACATCCGACAAAGATTGGAGGGGTCAATGGATTTGGGTGAGAGCTCCATACGCAGCAGCACATCCGAACTATTTTGGAGGCCCGAGATATTTAAGCAAGCCCGACAAAAATATGTCAGCGATCGGTTCGGCTGACTTATCATCTGCCGAATTGGAATTACTGAACCTCTTTGACAAACTGCCTACTGGAAAACGTGGCCGAGAACTGTATATGCCGAAAAATTGGCTACCTTGCTATCATTATATCTTCCAAGAGAAGATATTAGCTGCTGTTGGTCTAAGCCGAAAATATCAACGCGGTAAGAATTTCTACACAAGCCGAAAGTTCATTTTTGTCATTCTGTTGTGTTTTTTTTCCAATGTTTGACCACTGGTGTTTTCAGAACTGAATGAAATGAATTGCGGTTTAAACTATACACTGTTGGGAATAACTGCTGACAGAAAAGTGACGAAGAGAGATCCTCCGATAATTAAACCCTCTGAGAGAGCTCCTTGGTTACGCGAGTCTCATCTCGATATAGTCGAGAAAAACGAATATTTCAAACAGAAACCTTGGTACTTGAAGCGTGGCCCATTTTCTCCTTTGGGCATCGAAGAAAAAGCTGACGCTGATGCCGCTGCTCTGAATTCTGGCACAACTATTTTCGATTCTGAAGTTGGATGTAAGGTCAACTCTAACGAGAACGATTTATCTTCGGTGCGTACATACTTTACTGAGTTTAAAATCTCGGGTATACATACATTTTTGTCATATGAGTTTGAGGCTAATCAACCGACTGTATGAGCTTTCGATTAATTTTATTCCATTTTTTTCTCACCTTTTCTGTTAATTTTACTATTGAATTACGGGAAATTAAGTAACTGGTCTATGTTAATGCATATTTTTTTTACCCCTGTTACTTCAACTACAGGATGGTGAAACTTCAACTGATCGATCTTCTTCTGACGAAGAATGTGAAGAGAAGCCCACAAAAGGAAAGACCATGGTCGTTGTCAAGGTCAGCCAAATTCCCTTAGAAGAGTCTTGTCCATCGTCAAAACGTCGCCGTATAGCTGAAAAGGCGGGCGGAGATACCGTGTAGGAAATTACCGCTTCTTACGTGTCTCCAAGTCATCCAGAAAAAATGCAGCTAGAAATACCATGTCTGATGCCTTGTTCTTCTGGACATGTGGAAGAGCAGTCCGACGGAGAAAACCAAACACAGACTGTTGCCTTCACCCAGCATGCTCAAGATAATGATGTGGTTATTTTAGAGGAGAAACCGGAATCTTTTAAGGAAAATGAAGAACAACCCGATGAGTCTATGCGGGTGGATGTGCATCATACTTCTGCTGCAGATTATATCAAACCCTTTCAACCTAATATGGAATTTAAATCTGCCATGCTTGTAAATGTACCAGATGCTGTGAAGAAGAGTTTGATAGGAGAACGAGAACCTACTATAAAGTTTTTCGGAGATTTATCTGGAAACTCCGAGTTAGAAAAAGCCAAGATTTGGTCGAACCAGGCTGCTGCTGGAGCATCTGATCTATCTGAACAAGTGCCGGATCCTATTTGCGAAAATTTTAAGATGCTGATGAAGGTAACTTATTTGTGATCCTTTTACCCGGTGTTTTGAAAATTTGTTGTTCGGCTCTTACCTATTCCAGAAAATTCTTTACAATTACCTTAGTTTGATTTTTTTAAAGACTATATTTTCGCTTGAATTTTTAAGATAACTTGGTCATAAATATCTTACTTAAGATTGTTTCAGTGTTCAATCTCGGCTAATGTCTGTATTTCTTATGTGTAGGCCGTTCATAATCATGTGGTTGTTGCTGGTATGAACGTAGAGCTCGAAAGAGGTATCGAAGCAGCCGAGGCAGGAATTCACGCGGCAGAGCTGGCGTGGGAAAAAAATGAAAGTATGATCTCGGAAAATCGCAACAGAGTGAACGATATGATGGAGAGTTTCCAGGCTTTTTGTCAAGATGTAGAGCAGTCTTACTTACCTCATATTAGACAAGCCGAAGAGTTATTTCGCTCTTATGGAGCAGGTGATGTAGAGGAATTTCAACTTCGGCTTGTACAGAAGTTCCAGCAAGAAGTAGACGCCCGAGAACAATTGACTAAGGAACTGAACGAAAGAATTTCCTTTGCCAAAGAAAAGGCTGAACACACACAGTCTAATCTTAAGGCTGAAGTCCAACGTCTAGGTGACTTAGTTTCGGCTAAAGACAGCCGTATGGAGGAAATCAAAACCCAGATTCAAGCCGAGAAAACTGCTGCTTCCATAACAAAGATTGAGTTGGAGGGTACCAGGAAGATGTTGGAGACCCGGATTTATACCCAAGAACAATATGATGAGAATTATGAAAATGGATTCAGGACTGGTCGTCGTTTTGCGATTCATGCTGCACCGAATATAAATTGGGATTTGGCTGAACAATGGTCTATGGATCTTAATCACCCGAATATGCGGCGTCCACATCCTAATGAGCTTGCCTTGAATTCTCGGCTTTCTAAAAACGAAGTTCTGGACAAAGACGATGGTGGTGTGGAAAAGAGATGACTTATGAGTTCAAAATATTAACAGACCTACTACATCATCGTTTGCTAAAACGTTCGAGGCTCGATATGATAGTGTGGAAGACGCCAATGTATAAACATTTGGGAGGGTGTTTAAAATATCTTATACCTTTACGTGTACTTTATTGTTAAGATTTTGGTTTTTGTTACTTTCGTCTTTTTCATTTCGGTGTACAGTCCAGATGAAAACCAGTTTAGCGTTCGTAACGGTTAACGATCTTCGAATGGAATAGCTCTCGCTAGAGAATTTACACGCCAGTTTTAAATCTGTTAGAATCTGACGACCAAATTTACCAAGTAAACTTCTGTAGAGCAATATCACCGAAAATAGTATTCCATTCTAAACAGAAAACGAATTAAGAGCCATTAAAAAACAATAAAATATTAACACAGTATAGACGAAGATAAAAAGTCGAATAAAAATACAATGAACCGAATATTATCACTTCAATAATCTAGCAAATACCGTACGATTTAAAAGACCTTATTGCAATTTAGAATCTTAAATCTATATTGTTGTAGATCTCACTCACGTTTCTTTCTTTAATTTAATACATATAAGAATCCTGGATTGGATTTTGATTGTCTTTGTTATAATTTCCATTATCAGAATCAGACTCACCATCATCGTCATCGTGATTGTTCCCCTTACAATCTTCATCTTCGACATCATCATCGTCGTCGTCATCGTCATTCTTGTCAAAATTCTTCTGCGATTGGGATTCTCGCGTCTAAGTTATTGGATTACAAACGCTATCTTCATCCGAAACGTTCGCAGCTATTAACTCATTCCAAATTACGGGTTTTTTATTATCTTTATCTGCTTCAAGGGCAACTACTTTTGAATGACGGTCAACATTAACATTGGTGCGCCTTCTTTTGTTGCTTGGTTCTCCCTTTTCCACTTTACGCTCCGTCTACACAACATACTGTTGCAGAAACTCCAGATGACTGTTCATCTTCCTTGTTATATCAGCGAAATATAATAGGAAACTTGTAATGTTTTCTTTTTTAGAAATTCCTTCGTTCGGCTTCCATGAAGGTGGAGTAAAAACTTTTCCAGATGTCGCAGTACTATCAGTGCTCCCCATTTTGTTTTTATTCTTTAATTTAAATGATCGAAGGAGAATAATGAACGGAGAAAAGAGCAGAGTATATATGAATAAATAGAATGAGTAATAATAAATAAGAAAACAGAGAAGACGATGGCAGAACGGTGTTAAGAATAAGACAACTGAGAATATATATATATATATATATATATATATATATATATATATATATATACATATATATATATATACATATATATATATATGTGTATGTGTGTGTGTATATATATATGTATATATGTGTATATTTATGTATGTATGTGTATATATATATATATATACATATGTATGTATGTACGTATGTATGTATGTATGTATTTATATATACATGTACATACATATGTATGCATATATGTAGACATATATGTATATGTATACATATATGTATATACGTGTATATACATATATGTATATTTACATACACACGTATATGTACATATATACATACACATATACATACATATGTATAAACACGTATACACATACACACATGCACGTATACATACATGTATATATACATACATACATACACGTACATTGGTACATGTATATATACATATATACATATGTATATACATGTATATATATAGAGTATATATTAACCAATCGAATTCAAAGAGAACCATTATTACTTATTTTTTTAGAAATAGACTTATATTTCCCAAGAAAAGTTAAACGCTTTTGTGCGCAAAATATTTGCCTGGTATATAAATTGTTCGAAAATTAAAAAATGAAACCGAACTCTTTAAAATATTCTACTTTACATAATTTCAATATATTTATAGATTATGTGTCGGATTGTGGATTAGCTACTTAAAATTGCTTCGAATTTTTCAAAAAGACGGAACGGAAAAGAAAAAAGAGAGAGAAGCAGTATCCTCCTCCTTCACTGATATGTATATTGGGTGTTATAATTTTCATATCGGACTCCCGTCTTAAATTGGATTATATATTTTATTTTCTCAAATCAAAAAGCTTTAATTTCTAATGATATGTAGAATTAATCCAAAAATACAATGATTTTAATCCAACAATGGTCTAAATTCAAAATACAACCGTGGTTTAGTTAGAGGACATTTATTTGAAACATCAATTTTAAACAGGGCTGTATGTTTTAATACTCATATAGGACAACCTTTAAAATCGTAGCTATGTTGTCAGTTTTTATAGTCTAATTAGGGAATATTTGTATGATATTAAAGATGTGGTACTGCAGTAATGTCATTCAATAAATTATTTAAAATAGAACTTTTTAAAAATTAAAACACATCATTCTTATTAAATAATGCTACGTTTACAAGCTCCAACAAGAGTGAAATAATATTTTAAAAACAACGAAATTTCTTTTAGTTGATATTGGTATGAAAGAAAAAAAGGTTTTAGGTAGAGATGAACCTGAAATAGGTAAAGGCAAAAGAGAAAGAGGAAAAAAATAACAAAAAAAAAAAACAAAAATTAGACTTGCAAAAGAATAGCGGTTTGAAAAAATAATAGAAAGTGAAAAGGTAGTGTACATAACTGTGGCTTAACGGGTCAATGGGTGATAGTGGCAAGTACATTGGAAAAGTATTACAGCGGTTAAAGAGAATTTAAGGAGATTTCATTAATATATAATCAACTTTTTCGTCTACATTGTACGTCCGCTGGCTTCCAATTCTCATTTCATCCCACTCCCATCTCTTTCCTCAACTACGAGATACTAAAATGGTTGAAACTCGTTCTGAGGGTCATAATGGTTTGAGTAATCAACTCTTACCCCATCCACGACAACCGATATTGTATTTCCAAAAACAACCGAGGGAGGTGTCTGAAATAAACCTCAACTTCGTAAAGTATTTTGCGAATCCCTTTAACTTTTGTAATCGAAAGGAGGAGCCTGTGCAGCGTATTAGAGCACATCTCCTCCAATCCATGTGTTCCAAAACTTATGGTATAATGATACAAGATGACACGAAGAAGCCGGGGCACATCCCTCTTATAGAGGACTTAGTAAGTTGTTATGACGAAGGAGCCTGTGTCGTGCTGTATTGGCTCATAGAGAGGTTCTATTTCTCAGACTCTCCTTTTATAGTGCCATCTGAAATAGAAGGAGTAATTGACTTAAAACCCAATCTTAGTATCAACTCCATAAGTAATTACAGCTTTCCACCAGTATGGCGAAGCATATTTGTTGGCTCTTTCACAGATACTGTCCACAGTTGACGGTTGACACCGCTGCCACCCATCTAAGGTTCCATGTAGAAAGTTATGCCTTAAAATCTGATCTTAACAACCGTTGGCCTATTCATAAAAGATACCATCGTGTAAGCTACAAAGCAGATCATATTTCCTCGACCATCGAACAATATGGCGAAGTTGATCGGGGGTCAGTCGCTCTAATTTGGAATGCCCGAGGTTATTCGAGACCTTCCTTTATGGAAAATTTAGCAACCCTATACGAAAAATATAATTCGATCTTATTTATCATTTTGGAAGTTCGTCTTGGGAAATATGCGGCAAATGAAATCGTTCATAGCTTTCCCGATGAATATCAAGCCAAGATAAGTAGTTTGGAGTCAAGGCCTGGTGGTGTTATGGCGTTATTGAAACAGGGTAAGCTAAAGAGCAAATTCTTACACGTCTCAGATGAGGTGAAAGGAATAGTTATTGATGCTTTCTTCCAGGTAATTTGCTTAATTTTCTAATATTATCTAGAGTGGAGATCAGTGCAATGTAATTCTTTTAATAGCTAACTAAATGTTGCTTACATTTACAGGCTCCATTACCACCTCTACCACCACGAACATGGCTTCCACAAGTTCAATTGAACGATGACAGTCTCGTCTCAGATGAGAGGGCAGGGCAAGGTAGGGTGAACACCCCGACTCGGGTTTAGCCTTGAATGACTACATGCACAAATGATGATAAAAAAAGGACCTATTAATCTATTATGAACCAGGAATCAGACACTTCTCGGTGATCCGTGTCTTTAATTAATTATAACTGCAATATTAGTTACTTGTGATTTCATATCGGTTGCGCCTTCACCGTGTTCTGTTATAAATTAATCTTAAATTATTTTAGCCTTCATTACTTGAACTTTAATTATTTGTTTAATGCAATAGCTATCTTTCTAAAAATATTACAAGTAGTTGCAGCCTTGCGGTATATACCGTGTCCCGTACATATTACACACCTATTATCTGCAGGGTCTTTACGTTATGTACGTGGAATAAATATGGAAGAACGTATATTACTAAGTTAGAAGTAATTTCCGGAAATCCTGTTTGTCAAATTAGAAATAATCTGGGGTATAAGATAAACCAAATTACTTGGAAATCCTGTTTTCTCCCATGGCTTACCATTTTTTAGTCGTTGTACTTTGTTTAAGACTATTTACACTAATGTCTCTAAAACAGTGTTGTCAAGAACATTTTGCTCCAGCGTAGGATTGATGGAAAATCGTAATTTAAAGTGAGTTTTCTAAGAACACATACGATGGTAAATGTTATTAGAGGTCACTATAGAGTACTCGGGAGTTTATCATCAAAAAATACCATAAACGAATATTTAAGAGAATATAAAAATGCAAGTAATACTTTACTCCAATATTTCAACAATGAATGGTTATAAGTTAGGTCTCGGCGGGTACCAGCGGACTTTGAATCATTACTTACATTGTTTCACTAATCGGGTGAATTAACACCTGAATACTGACGTAGTATACAAACAGCTGGTAATTTTATTTCTCTTTTCCTCTTTATATTTTTTAAGATTGTCTTTTTACATGAGGTTCATTAAAACATGGAAGATATCACTGAAGATGTGCAGATTACAGCTGATGAGGTACCTATTACGGTAGACACTTTTATTAGGTTCTTAAATCGGTTTACGGCTGTTACGGACGAGGATGTTGTGCAGTTGAGAAGATTAAAAGAGGGTGAGCAGAAGGAGAGAGAGAGAGACTTGATTTCGTGTCGTTGAGACACAATAAATAGGCTACGCTGATAGTAGAACCACGTACGCCTGGAGTCAGATAATTGATGTATTTCGTAATTTACTGTAACGTATCTTCCTGCTAAATTTTTTTAGAAAAAAAAATGTTTAGGTTTGACTCGGTATTCGTGATATTGTGCAGAGAAGAATATCGGATAGTGCGTTG